CCGACTCCCTGTGGTCTGCGTCTATATGCATGAATTTGAGCTCTCTCTCTCATACAAAACCCTAGCGCAGAGGGAAAGTTAAACCCATAAATGAAATTCAAAGAAAAAAAAATCACTTGTCTGATCAATTAATTCGATTAGTTGCTACACCTTCGAGATGATATATAATTTTGACTTTGAAGAGAAGATATTAATTGTAATCAGTTGACAGATTATTCCTTGGACTGAACGAGTTTTATGTACCATGAATTTGCCTATGACAGAGACCCTACCGGCCTATAATGTATGCATTGCAATTGGCTGATAGTTTTAACTTTGGCCATTTTTTATTACCAAAGTAGGCAGGATTTCAACTACTCAATCAATTGGGGTCCTTAGCTCCATCCTTGGACCCTCCACAGGCAGCAAAGTTGCTTGCTAAATTAGTCAGTAAACTGGCTCTATTTCGAGTAGTTATTATTGTATATCACGGATTAGAATTCGAAACTTAATTCAGTTGATTTATGGAACCACTTTTGAAAGAAAGCATCCAATATGTTTGAGGTTTGAATTTCATCATTTGTAATTTCTTATCTTATCCTCAAACTACGATCTCTTTTATAAAAAAATATATATCCGAACTATTAGTCTATACACTAACTCCATAAATAGAGTTAAAATATTGTTACACGTCTTTTATTTATCATATTTTAAAGAAAATGCGATAACACTAACGTTACTGGCGGATTTAATAATTTTCTTGTATATCAATATGGTAGTTGAATTTTTTTTTCTTCTTCTTATATTTTTCTCTTTTCATCAAATTTAGGGTTAGTGGTGCTAAAATTTTATTACTAAAAACACATCATTAACTCATTATTATTAGCTACATGGATTTAAATTTTTAGGTTTGGTACTTTAATTTCAATATGATCAAATAAACATTAAGGGCTTTGCATTTCAAGTTCATAAGGAAAATATTTTTTAGGCACCAATGATAGATTGAATGAGTATTAAAAATAACTTTTATCTCGCTAATCAATCTTATGTTATGTGCAAGTATGAGCATGAAATATATGTAATTAGAATTCAATATTATCATAATTACGTCATGTATTTTTTAATGTATAATCTTATCGAGTTAAGTTAAATATATCATAAATATATATTATTCTAGCTCTCAATAGTTAGAGAATGTATATATTTGGCTTGTTTAGGCAGCATATATGGGACAATATTATTCTAGAGGTCAGTTATATAACTAATGTTCCTTTCATATTGTTTCATTAATTTTATTTTTTTGGAAATTAAATAAAGACAACAAAATGGTCTATAAATTAATAACAAATTGAAGTAATAAAGCAATTTAAACAGAAACCCATGAAACAAAAAACTTGTTCTGATCCATAGGAAAAACTTGTTCTGATCCACAGGAAAATTTTTTTTTATATAACTATGTATATTTACTATGTATATAACTATATATATATATTTAAAAATTTTAAACCTATAGGATAAAACAAATTGGTGAAGTATAATCTAATTAGCCTTTGAAGTGTGTTTTTTTTTTTTTGGTTATTCGATGCAGGGGGATTCGAGTTTTGTTCTTTGAGTAAATGATCATGCACTAATAAACTGAATCAAATGCTCGGGACATGCGCCTTTGATAAAATTATAGATGTATATATCAAATTTTAAAATTGTATTAATTATATATATTTTCTTGGAAAATCATTATTTAGACATAGAAATTAATGAATAATAAAGAAGAGTAGGGCAAGAGAATCCACCTTGGTTTTATACATGCCAAGAGCCAAATACAAGTCAGAGTTGTGGAGTAGCAAATGGAATCCATTAAATATAATAAATCTGCTTCAAAATGGGACCAATGAAGTGGATACACTAAGCCATAATATGTCGTTACCTACACTAATCTTGTTTTTGTTAGCATCTAATTAGTAATAAATTGCTTTATTAGTATTCATGACAAGATATGCTTTTTCGTTATGAATCTGATATTTAACTCATTCGTTTTATATAATTATTTTTAAAAAATAACATTCAATAAATTTAAAATTTCTTTTTTTATTTTCGGCTTTTTTTATCGGAAAAAGGATATGCTTTTTGTTTTGTCTCACAAGATTAGGAACAAACTAATAAAATAAAAAAATTAAGGTTAATCCAAATTAAAAAGCTGTAATCTTCGTAATGACTGAATTGTCAACGAATCTCTTAAACAACAATATTTTTGATACACCTCAAACTAGTGCCAGTTGGGTCTAATACTTTCTTTAGTGGGTTTTAGATCAATTGGCTACTGAAATGTTAAAAAGCATATAGTTAGTTTATATGATTATGAGACTTTATCTAATATTAATATTATAATATTAATATCACATAGTTATTGAAATGTTAAATATTATAAAGTTGCTGAAATTTATGAGCTTTTATATCATTTTTTATGATCTTGTATGCACAATCAATAACCTCAAAATACTTTATTAATTATTTTATTTTTAGTAACATTGGAATTATTTGTCAAAACTTGCTGAAAGAGGTTGAATTTATTACTATTTTAAGATTAAAAAACAAGAAATAATAAAATGATGCACCCTCCAAGAAAGGGAAAAGAATGACAAGTTGCTAGACCAATAAAATAAAAAAGTTTGACCAGATGACCTGCCATAGCAATAGCAGCCATGTTAAGTTTCAGATTGTTCATTAAACATTGACCAAACTCTAAAAAAAAAAAATTGATTTTAATGTGTGTGGCTGACAATTTTTTTGGTTTATTTTCCCATTCATGGTCTTTTGGATTATTGTTTCATAGCTGGCTTAACTCAAACCATTCAATTTAGGGTTTGGGAGCTGACTCTTTTCTTTTTTTCTTTTTTTTTTTCCTTCTACACCCTTTTTTGCATTTCTTTTTTCAATTTTAATGGTTGTTAGGTGCATGGTCATCTTCACAATAGTAAGGACCAAACCCCCAAAAGAGATTGCCAATATTAATCCAACATAACTCCAAAGTGTTTTTTTTTTCTTATCAACCATAGAGGAATGACAAAATTAGTAATTAAAAAAAAACCCCACCAAAGTGTTAATTGTACTTGTTATAGCTGATTATTCGATTTTAGCTGTTTGAAATATGAGAATAGAATCAATTATGACTTAGTTTTTTTTTTTCAAATTTGTTAAATATTCTCTTTTATCCATTTCACATTTTTTAGTTTTTGAGATTGTTAGGGATTGAATTTTATAAATTAATAGACTACATGATTGTAGATAAGCTAACTATATCGACAATATTGGAAAGTAAGAAGAGGTTAAAGAAATATAGCATATATATATATATGTACATATAGTAAGTAGGAGTAGAGGATTCAGATACTAATTTAATTTATTTATGTAAGTATTTTTAAAAAATATATATCATTTAGTAAGTTTAAAATTAAAATTTCAACGTATGTAATTTTCTCACTATATCTTTTATAAAAAAAGAATGAGATGGTTGTTGAGGGGAATTAAGCATTATTTAATTAGATTTAGAAGCAATTTCTACCCTATATATATTCTAGGAAAAAAGTAGGTGAAACTTGAAAACTTTTTCTCTATACCACTACACCTATTATAACCTAATTTATACATCAATTGAATGAGTAACATAAATCATCGCTTAAATAACACAGAAAAAGTACCTTAACTCAATTGATAATATCGTTTTTCTCGTTGATGATTTTATATTCGAATCTAAGTAATGATTATTTATTAAGATAATCTCATATGTAGAGTCTTTTGTTTTAATATGAGAGATTGATTAATCTATTTATTTTTAAATTTAAAAAATACATTATATAATTTTTTTTTGGTGGTTTTACATTTCATCTATGACATCCAAAGTCATCTAACTTTCTAACTCTTTACCAAAAAGTTTGAAGGAAAACAAACCAACCTTTGGATTTCTTTCAAGAGCCCTCCTCCTTGAAGTCTAAGCCTTTGTTTTTTTTTTTTCTTTTTTTTAACCCTCTTTTTTCATATTATTGCAAGAATCTCTGCAATGGCAGCCTTTTTTTTTTTTCTACTCGTGCATCGATGTGATTCGTACGTCGGACCGTATTATTACCAAATGACGACGAACAGTCTTGATTTTTCCTAGCCTCTTTCTACTTGCATGTGCTTTACGCGCCACCTAATTTGGCCAACTCAGGCTTTTTTTGGCCTATGTCAGCATGGATATTAGCCTAGTGTAATTCTGACTAAAAAAAAAAAGGCAAAACCATGAGTTAAACATTTTTACTTTATAATTTGCTGAAAATAAGTTTCAAATGCATGAAAAAAATAAGAAAAAACTTGGCTTTCATTTTTAAGTAAATTTAATAATTCGTGTATTTTTATTATATAAAATATTAATAATTTATATATTTATATAATATTTTATACGAAAATTATATGTTATAATTCATATCGATATAAAAAAAATTATATTTTTTTGTTTTATTAAATTCATATATGATTTTTGTTAAAATTTTAAACTGTATTACTTTTGTTTTTTTTTTTTTTCATATTTTCATATGATATTTTAAATTATCATATATTTTTTAAGACCATTGTTCAATGAGAAAATTAGAAAAAAAAATCATGTTTAAGGTCATTGAATTAGAAAAACATTTTGACAATACGTATATATTTGTGAAAATATGTATTTAAGGTATAAAATATTATTCATTTTAATTAAAAAATTTTATTATTTTATCACACAAAATATTAAAATTTTAAAAATAACTTTCCCTGAGTAACGCCTACCTTTATATATCTATTAATAATTAGATTGCATAACAATAGTTTTTTTTTTTCTTTAATTTTTGAAAAGACAAGATTCATTTTACCAACATGAATCCTTATTCTTATGTATGTTGAAAAATTATTTTGTTGTCAATGTTGATTGTGAACAGTGTCATAAAAAATTCTTCTAGTTACCAAAATGTTGTGGAAAAAAAAAAATCTTATCCATCATTTCTAAAAATGATTTAAACAACCTTTTTATCCAAAATTAATTAAAGCTCCTTAAATATCTTGCATCATTTTCGTTATTTTCAAAGTGTCTTTTCCATATTCTTGAAAAGAAAAATTTTTTTTCTTTTGCTTTTGCAAAAATCATTTTTCACTTAAACCAATGAGTAGCCATGGTGTGGCTCACAAGAGGAGAGGGCCTTTGCCAATATGTTCAAAGGGAAATCATATTTTTGTACCCTTTGGCCTTTGCTTTCTCTCTGTCAATAAAATTCCATACTATTTCACGTGCAATTATGCTGTATATTTTATGTTTTTTTGTTCATCAAATGCCTTTAAAAAGCTCACTTCTCCACCCCAAAGTTGAACTCCCCAAGGCAAATTGTATCCCAATTTTTGTGTTTTTGGGTTTCTTTAGTTTTGAGAAAGGAAGAAACAGAGTGAAAAGAGGAAAAGAATGGCACTAGAAGCTGTGGTTTTTCAGCAAGACTTGTTTGGTTACAACAGCAAAGATCTCTACAGCTTGTTAGGGGGGAATTGGAGCTATGATTTTGGCTTGGAAAGAGAAGATTTTCCTGATCACAACCATACATCTGATTTGACTAATAATAATTTTGTTCATGGAGATTGGGCTTCTTCTTCACCAACTTCAATGGTTCCACCTCATTTCAGTGATCATCAGCTACACCACCTAAATTTGTCGTCTGATGCTGCTAATGCTAATGGATCATCCTCCTGTGACCCTTCAGCTTTGGATACTTCAACAACTACTTCCACTCGTCCCAAGAGACGTCGATCCAAGAGTCGAAAGAACAAGGAGGAGATCGAGAATCAAAGAATGACTCACATTGCTGTGGAGCGCAATAGGAGAAAGCAAATGAATGAATATCTTTCTGTTATTCGATCTCTAATGCCTGAATCTTATGTTCAGAGGGTATTTTTCTCTTAACTTCCATAGCTATAATATGTAAAAAAAGAAGAAAGAAAATGGTAATCATTTTTTTTTTTTTGGATTCAGGGTGATCAAGCATCGATTATAGGAGGTGCCATAAATTTTGTAAAGGAGCTTGAGCACCGTCTGCAATTTCTAAGTGCTCAGAAAGAGGTAAAAGAAAGATCAGATATTGGTGGTAGCAGCTGCTCATCTTCACCTTTTGCTGAATTCTTCACATTCCCGCAGTACTCAACTAGTCTAACTTGGGATGATAATTCAATCTCCATGAATGATCAGCCAATGGTTGAGACTCAATCTGCCATGGCTGACATAGAAGTTACCATGGTGGATAGCCATGCAAACCTCAAAATAAGGTCGAAAAGGAGACCGGCACAGCTCTTGAAAGTGGTTTCAGGGTTGAATACTATGCGGCTCAGCATCCTCCATCTCAATGTCACAACAGTCGATCAAACTGTCCTCTATTCTCTCAGTGTCAAGGTTAGTTTGATTGTAGAAAATAGTTGTTAATTACAGGTTAACACTCAATTAATTATAGTTGGTTTCAAATGCAGGTAGAAGATGACTGTAACCTGACTTCAGTGAATGACATAGCCTCAGCAGTGAATCAATTGCTAGGTAGGATTCAAGAAGATGCTATGTTGAATTGAAAATTTCTATGATTTTCAGTTTTTCACCCCCCACTGTAATTTGTTTCTCTTCACTTTTCACCTTCATATACCTTATATGAAGGACTTTTCTTTCAGTTCCTTTTCCTCAGGTTGTTCCTGAAATTGCCTATTGCCACTGATGTCCCTCTCCAATTTCATTCCAGTGTACTTTGTTTTAGGCCACTCTACCCTTCTGGAAATGAACAAAAACTTCTCTGTTTCTTTCCCCAGAATCAGAATTTTCATATAAAATTAAATTTTATTCTCTTTTAAGGGCATGTGATGTATCAGCCACACATAAAAAAAGACAGGTCAATTCCAACCTCCTTTATTCTAATGCTAATAATGTATGTCATAGACTGGTGTTGTTGGGCAAATTTAAGATTGGCAATCTTGCCCACCATATCCCAATAACAACATTGGATCAAGTCTTTTCTTCACCCTTTCTTTTTGGCTATGTGTCATAGGTAGGAACTAAAGGGAAGTAGGGGGCTTGAATATTGCACCTGAAACTCTCAACCCCTTCAACTAGTAAGTAATTTTTTTTGGCACATAAGAGGTCAAGGCCTAAGGGAAATCGTGGAAGTGTAATCGAATGTCAGTTTTGCTAGAAACCGGAAAGTGGGTGAATCATTTGGATTAAACCATAACATTTCCTCGGTCTTTCAATGTTACTGATGCTTTCTTTTTTAAAAAAAGAAATTGTGATTATGATTCATAATCCAAAATTTGGCAGCAAATCCATCCTAAATGAAGCCAAAATCACAATTAACATTAACCATTCAAATAACAATGAATGCTTTATATTATGGCAAAGCCTGGATTCAAGAATTTTTTTTCTCATAGAAACTCAAGTAGTCTATGACCACCAATGAAGGTGAAGTACCAAAACAAGGCTGCCATAAAAACAGCTTTAGAAAGGCTAGAAACTTTCTCTCTTTCTGTAAATTTTTTTAGTCCAAAATTTGGGAAAAAACAAAAAAGGTATCCTCATGATCATGAAGCACCAGACATGGTAAATTAGAAGCCAAAAAACCAAGATATCATGAAAATTTGTTTTGAACAAAAATTTACCTAAGTAACCATGATGGGTTTTTCGCCCCCTATATATGACTTCAAATCAAAGTCATCTGTGCTTTAAAGATAATCATGGCCCCATGAATTTTGTTCCATGCTCAAGGTCGAATCCCAAGGTAAAAAAAAGTTGATATGTTGGTGGGGTTTTGATCATTGTGTAGTATCATTAAAAGGACAAATTAAAATAATTTGTCATTGAATAAAGTTTGATTTTGAAAAAACAAATGTTAATTCAAATCGTTTCGATTTCGAGTGATACTCACTTCTTATAAGAATAAAAACAAAATTTAATTTAATTAAAAGTCGGGTGTGAATGCAAAAGTGGTAGATTGAGGTACTAATAACCAATGCTTTTTGAAGCAATAGTTAGATGATTGTGGTAAAAATGAATTAATCACTGTAATTGAAAGAATGGAAAATGAACTAAAGAGGATGCTTTGTTACTGTTTAACTTTACACATGGGCCACTAATTTAATTAACGTATTAACAAAGTTAAACATAGAGCAGTAAAAACATATTAATAAAAAATTTAGAGTTAAATTTAATTTGTTCATACAATTATTTTTAAAATATAATATTTTCGCATTTATAATTCTTTTTTTATTTTCAAATTATGATTTTGTTATAAAGAAAATATTGATATATAAATTTGAATTTTATGTTGGAGTAGGTTTTTATTTTTCTTTTTCATTTTCATTTTTTTTTATTTTTGAAATATTAATTGTTAGACGTGTGTCACTTTTCACATGCATTGTAGAAGAGTCTTAAGTCCCCTAGGTGAACAACAAAATCATGTTTCTTTATACCATCTAGGGTTTATTTTATTCAGAAGATTCTAACCCTATATTTCTCTTTATTTCCTTTTTTTTTCTCCCCTCATCTGATTTATCTTCTTGTTTTCTAGTGGAGAAACATGGAGTTTAAATGATTCTCAGTTTCCCAATCCCAATTTCTGGTCCTCTCTCTTATCTTTCTATAGAATTTTTTTTATCATTTATTGCCAAACAAAAGGAGTGAGGTGTAATCGAATAAAATATAAATGAAATGAGCTTTTGTAATACTTCAAATCTTATATTGAAAGAATATGAAAATATAATATGATATATATGTAAAAATTTAAATTTATACTCTTGAGATATTTTTTGTAAGATAAAATCATGAGATTTTTAAATTAAATTCATATCCAACTTACGTAATATTATTTTTAAGTATGGATTTAAATTTCTATGTACATATTATATTTTCGTATTTTTCTAATATAAAATTAGGTCCGTCAGAACTTTTACATTCTTAAAGAAGAAAAAAATATATAAAAAGAGATACAAAGTTAAGCTTTTTATACCACCTACTATACTCATTCCTTCCCAAAATTATTGTTTTTTATTGACTTTTTTATCAAATTAATTCAACTTTAACCATTGTTTTTATAAAATTAAAAATTTTAAAATTTTAAAAATAAGATTAATATGCAACCTTTAAATTTCAAAATTTCCAAAATATATATTTTAAAATTTTAATTTAATATAATATTTTATAAAATAAAGATCAAAATTGAATTGTTTTAACAAAAAAAAAATTGGAGAATGATATAATGGATCAGCAAAAAAGTTATAAAGCTGATTGTAAAAAAATAAAATAAAATAAAACTATATATATAGATAGCGACTTCATTCTATCAAACGGAATAAAGCAAAAGAGATATCTTAATGTCACTAACAAAAGAAAAAAAGTGACAAATTACCAAGAAACAGGAAAAGAAGAGGAAACTTTTAATAACAATGATATTTGAATAAGGAAGCATGGCAGAAAGGTATATAAAGAAGAAGATTTTAAAGCAACATCGATTGGTCCTACATTGTATATCGATTTTACAAGGGGAACAAAAGTAATGTTCGATTATCAACAGATGTTAGCTCTAAGTGACAAAGAGAATTTGTTTATTTTTTGGTTGTTTGAGTTCGAATTCATTGATAGGCTACAAGAAATTCATTTTTTATGAATTTAATGTTCAATAAATCTTATCAACAGATGTTAGCTCAAATGATGAAGAGAATTTGTTTGTTTTTTTGTTGTTTGAGTTCGACTTCATTGGTAGGTTACAAGAAATTAATTTTTTATGAATTTGTTAAGTCCAATATAAATAAAACCGACAGGAAAAGGGAATGTATTAGACGAAACTCGAGAACTACTTCCTGATCAGATAAAATAGCAAATTTTCTTTGGTGATAATCTTTCTTGGTAGACATCAACATGGTCAGAAAAAGTAATGTTCAACATATATAGTATCAGTTAGTCCAAAATCATGCAAGAAAGCTGTTTTATACATACCGCAAAGGGACAAACTGAAGCCTATTTAGCTACAGCAAAGTGCAACTGGCCATGATTCCGAGCACGATTTGTGAAAGGCTAAACATCCAGATCTGATTAGCGTCAGTGCACATGATAGCTTTAATTTGTTTAGTAATCAAAAATTACAATTTCATATTACAAAACAACATTGGAATCTGCTGATATTGGACCAGAGAAAACGTTGTCCCATTAGCGTTACATGGGTTCATAGGCATGGTGGGAAAAGGTAGAGGCATTTCAGGTTAACAGAAGAAAACTGATATTTCATTGGCTTATAGAAGATGCGAAACACCATCCATCGTTCATATTTACTTTATCTCTGGATCACACAAACTCGGATAAGAAAATTATCATTAGGACATACTAACATATCAGAAGCCATTGGAAAGCTTAAATTTCTGACCTGACCAATGTGCATGTTTCCTAATGGCTCTAGGCGATTGCATCAAACGTGGTTCATGCTATACAAGATGAATTCTTACTCCGAACTGAAATTAAGTTCAGCTTTTTAATGCTATGAACGGTGTCTAGTGGCGGATCTAAAATTTTCTTTTTTAAGGTGTCCACTTATAATATATATAAAAAACTGTAGATGGATTTATCAATTTTATTTACAGAAAAAAATAGGATACCCAAGAAAAATTTTAGGAGCGTCCATAAAAAATTTCTTGTTTTTTAATTTTTTTAGTATCCTTGAAGACTCTATCTTCAAGCATGGATCTGCCAATGATGGTGTCAGCTAACTTAGTTTATCTTGAACCCACGGGAATCTTTAGGGTATTCTAAGTGATTATGCTGTTTCTGGTGGTTTATTCAAGAGGCAGAGAAAATCCTGATAAGCAGATTCGATTCTTCCGAAGACCTAACTTTAAGCAGCTCGAGTTGTTTCCAAGAACGTTGACATGCATTGGTACATATAAACATCGCAATCAGTGGAACAAGGAAATTTGAAAGAAAATCTTGTGCTTGACCATAATTTTTTTTTGCAGAAAGCAACTATATAAGGAAATAATTGTTTGATTTTAAGCTGATTCTTTCATTTTTTTGAAAATTATTTACATTCGATTTTGTTTCCTAGAATGTGCAGCTTTGAATTTTGACCTTAATTTTTGGCTCCAGGATTCTGAATTTTCTGCCTGGTGCGTGTTGAAACAAATTTGGCTTTCCTCCCCAATGCAAATATGGATCATATTCTTGCCAAAAATAAAGTTCTGAAGCCAAAAAATTCCTATGGAGGTTTGAATTAATTTGAATGAGCTGATTTTCTCTGATACTTATTTTATTGCCTTTTCTGGAACAGCTTTCTTCGTTTCCAAGTTCCAACTACATATAAGTAGCAAAGAAGGCTTATAATTGTCTTCTTATAGCACAACTTGTTTGACCTTGAGAGATAGCCAACTGATTTGTTTTTCTGCTGCTTATTTACTCAGGTACCAGCTTTTAAATTTCAGTTACTCTATTTGATGTTTGTTTCAGTTGCTCATACAATTTATGCAGTAAATTGTTCTGATTTTATTTGATTGGTCTGTGGGATCAATCTTAGATCAGAATCCAGATTTGTGCATGTTTGAATCAATCAATAGCTTAGTGGTAATAGAGTCGGTTCCAAAGTTGAAGGTCTCGAGTTCGAACCACAACCATGGCTCAAAAGACAAAAAGTATATAACGAACTATTGCAATACCTTTACCAACATTGTATGTTGCACTGACAGATCAACAATCATATGTTATTTCGTAGAGACGATGGAACAAGAGATATTAAGTGTGATTTCAAGTGGTGAAGTGAAAGCAACTTCAGAAGTTTCAGATTCAATTAGCACCAGTCACCCTGCAAAAAAGCGCCTAAGAAGCGGCAGCAACGGCACCTCCTCGCAATTCAAAGGCGTTATGCGACAGAAAAATGGGCAGTGGGGTGCTCAATTATATGCAAACCATACCCGAATTTGGCTAGGGACTTTCAAGTCTGAACAAGATGCAGCTATGGCCTACGACAGCGCAGCAATCATGTTCCGTAATGGAGACACTCATAGGAATTTTCCATGGACTGACATCACTGTCGAGGAGCCAAAATTTCAGAGCCATTATAGTGCTGAAGCTGTCCTGAGCATGATAAGGGATGGTTCTTACAAATACAAGTTCATGGATTATCTCAAGGCTCGCTCTCGAAGTGCAAAAGTCGAGATTGATCTCAACTCAGTGGGGACTTATAGCCATAAAGGGCTAACTTGCAAACAACTGTTCCAAAAGGAGCTAACACCAAGCGATGTTGGTAAGCTGAACAGGCTTGTTATCCCCAAAAAATATGCTGTCAAGCACTTTCCACCAGTCTCTGGAACTGAAAAAGAAAGTGCTGCTGAGTTGATTTTCTATGACAAGTTTATGAGATTATGGAAATTTCGTTATTGCTATTGGAATAGCAGCCGAAGCTTTGTTTTCACCAGGGGTTGGAACCGATTTTTGAAGGAAAATGACTTGAAACCAAATGATGTGATTTCTTTCTACGTATGTGAGTGGGGATCAAAGGAGAGAGAGGGACACAGATTCTGCATGATCGACGTGAACAAATTTGCAAAGGATGGTGCATTGATTGAGACAGCCAATCTGCAGGTTAGAGAAGTAAATTTGCAGCTTGGATTGGGACATTGTTATGGCTTTGATGGTGAAAAGCATGTCAAACAAGAGCATGAATTAATGGCAGCACACCCTACACAAGAGCTTAATACTGAGGGTTTCAAACTCTTTGGTATACAAATTAACCGAAGCAAAGATTGATGGCTTTTTTCCTTTTTATCTCTTTTTTTTATATTATTTTTTGCATCTTTTCTTTTAATGATCACGATTTAATTAGCTGAATTGAGCATTACGGCAATGATGGCTTGAGTTTTTTATGACTACTTTTTGCTGGAAATTTTGGTTTTACGTTGAATTTATTATCCTTAATCTCAAAGTTTTTATTCGACCTAACCAATGTAGTGACATGGTACGAAAAAAAAAAAATGGAGTTAAAATTTTAGTATAATAATATATGAGATTAACAAATATTTTTATGTGTCAGTATAAATTATAAAATATAATATAAATATAAAATTTTTAATATTTTATTAGATATAAATATACAAATAATCAAATTTAATATTTAAGTGTCGAATTATCAATGAAAAATCTATTAGTACTTATAAATTGTGGTCCGACATAAAATAAAATTAGGCCTAAAATTAAATTAAAGGTAATGGACCATTTAAGACAAAGGAGGCCCAAAACAAAACTTTGGTACAGAAGATTCCAGAACTTTCTTCTTTCCCGCTGAAAATTGTCACCTACTATAAAAGCAGAATAAGTTCGGATCTCTGAGGATCTGCTAAAAAAAGAGTGGTTAGTTTCTGTAAGTTTTCTTTCTCTGCCTGCCTGTCTGACTGGCTAGAAAATTTGGGAAGATAAAGACATAATTCAAACATTTGAATTTCGAAAATTCATTTTTCATTTGTTAGTTACTATTCGCAAACCGAAAAGTTTAATTTTCAGTACATTTGCTACTCTATGCTTCATTCATTTTTGAAAAATTATAAAACAAATACTTTCTTAGTTTTTTTTTTTTGGATGCTGAGAAACTATTATAAAGAAAATGTGGTTGAAAATCAGTTTTATTTTGGATACAACCTTCTTCAATTGAAATGTTGATTTTTTAGTGAAATTCGTTTAGCTTTCGAATTTTAATGTTTTTCTCAAATTGTTTGCCGTTATTAAAATTTTCATGAAAATTGGAAATCCTGTTTGGATTTCCAAGTTTCATTTCTTAGAGCCAAACAGACTCTAAATCTACGCCATTTCCATTTTGCTTAAACTGATTTTTAAAACCTTTACATCGATTGATTTTATCACAGATTCGAATCAATTTTCAAGTAGAAATGTCGAACGTAACTGTCTGCGTCCGCTTCAGGCCTTTGAGCTCAAAGGAGAAAGGAGATCTCGGAGATAACATCTGCATTCAAACTCTAGACTCCGAAACCTTCATCATCAAGGTTTAAATTTCACTTAATTTCATTTTGAACTCCAATTTCCTTTTATTTACTATATACTTTTTGTTTTATCATTCGAGTTTGTATATGATAGGATGAAAAAGAAGAAGGTTTTACATTTAGCTTCGATAAGGTTTTTTATGAGAAGTCTAAGCAAGCTGATGTATATGAGTTTCTTGTTCTTCCAATTGTTCAAGGTATGACTCAGAAAACTGTTTTTTGATTGATTTTCTGCGTTTTCATGATCTAATCAACTGTTTTTATGTATTTCTTTTATTATTATTATTATTATTATTATTATTTTTTGAAACAGATGCTTTCAATGCTATAAATGGAACAATCATCGCATACGGACAGGTACGCTATATCATTGGTTGTTAAATTCAATGTTATGACATCTTGCTCAGTTGTGTTATTAGTGCATTCCAGTTCCAGTATTAAGTGATCTCTCTGGCCATGTTTGGTGCATAAAATAATTGATAAGATAATATAGTAATCATTTTATATTATGTTTGATTTGTATTTAAAGAAAAAGATAAGATTGTAAGGAGATTAATCATCTTTTTAGTATGGAATGATTCAATCCTTTCAAAATGAAAATGATTATTTTAATTCATGATATTAAATTTACATGTCTTATTATATTTTTAAAAATTACATTAATAATTTAAATTTTTTAAACTTTTAGGAAGGATAATTTTGACCAATAAATAAATTATTCTATCCTAATTCTTGCATACATCAAATAAAAGATAAAATAACATTATTTAATCTAATTCTGTTCATAATATCATCTTATTTTATCATATCAAAATCTTATATACTAAACACATCTTCTATTTACTAAATGCTGCGGTTAAGGATTTGTTTACTATTTTATTGATTGCCTTGTTGAAGATAGTAAAGAACATGATGGTGAGAAATGTGTTCCACATCAATTCCAAGCATCAGGCCAAAGAACCTTTAAACTTGATAGTTTAAATTTCCAATTCTCCATTCATTGTTAGTAAGTAGAAACTAGTAATGTAACACATTGTCTTAACCTTTTGGATTGCTTGTTGATTTGATTTATGGATATATTTGGTTTTATTTCTTTGATTGTTTTTCTTTTTCTTTTGGTGACAGACTGGGGCAGGGAAGACATACAGTATGGAGGTTATTTGATGATTGCATATATATAGTCCGATTAGATAACTTATAAAATTAAATTGATTTCACTGATGATATATATCTTATTTTATCAGGGGCCAAACATCTTGGAATCTGATGAACAGAAGAAAGGGATACTTCCAAGAGTAGTAGATGGATTATTTGCATGTATCAGATCTTCCAATGATTCAACCAAGTACACAATCAAGTTGTCCATGGTAAGGAGACATATCATATTTGTTTAGGGTCTAATTATATTGCTTGCCGTTCAACTATTAATGCTATGTAATTCATGAAAATTTCTGTTCTTATCTATAGGTAGAGATCTATATGGAGAAAGTCAGGTATGTATCACCTTAAATGCTGTTTGTTGTTGGATTGGGAGTTGTAATTCCCTTGTAGAATTTTCTGATTGGCTTTGGTAACACATGATATCCAAGAGATTAGGTTAATGAAATTTTATAAGAGGTGCCATCAGAGGTGTTTTAGTATTAAATGCGCGTGTTTTGTGTTTCTTATCCTCAGGGACCTTTTTGATTTATCAAAGGACAATATTCAAATTAAGGAGAGTAGAACACAAGGGATATTGTTATCTGGAGCAACAGAGGTAGCTATTTCTTGCAGAAATTATTATTACCTTAGTCTTGAGTCTTGATATTATGCATTACAGTAGCATTTTCTATGTTTTACTTTTATAAGGTGAGACTAAATTAAAATCTTCATGCTTGACATCAGCCCTATTAGTTTTTGCTAGGCTTTGTTCTTTCTAGTTGAGATTAATTTGAACATGTTCATGAATATGTTAGCTCAGCCTATCAAGTTTGTCAAGAAATATGCTGTATACTTTTATTTATTTTTCTGTTTTCATTGAGCAAACACTGTCTTTGCCTTCTAGCCTTTCCATGCATGCATATAAACTTCATACATAGTGCATTGTTTTCTTCAAGTTATCCATTTAATTTTTTTTTCACATAAAAATGTTTTAGCCTAGTGGCATGAGTAATGCTATTTAGAAGTACCTTGCATCACTAAGATGTTGTAACTTCTTTTAGCTCTATGCCTCTTTCTTACTAAAGCTTCTATTTATACATTAATGTTTTTCCCAGATCTCTCTATTGGACACTGCACAAGCATTACAAAGCCTATCTGTAAGATAAAGATCAGTGAGAACTTTTTTCTTACTTTTGTGTTCATACAATATAGTTTCTGATATCAGCCTTGAAATTGTAGAGTGGGATAGCTAACAGAGCAATTGGAGAGACCCGTATCCTTTTTGTATTTCGGTTTTTATTTCTTTCCATTAATTTCTTTATCTTACAAAAGTAAACTTCAGTTAAAGATGCACAGTTATCACCTTTCATTTGGAAAAGTTGTCTTCGGAATTTGTGTTTAAACTTTAGCGAGCATAGAAATGAACATGGCAAGCAGCAGGAGTCATTGTGTTTACATTTTCACACTCAACCAAGAATCAATTACAGAAAAGAGGTATAGCTTATCTATTACTACGTTTAAGGCTTCAAATAAATTGATCTATTAATTTCACAATGTGGTCAGGGCGAAATCTGGAAAATTAATTCTTGTGGACCTGGCGGGGTCGGAGAAAGTGGAGAAAACTGGGGCTGAAGGAAGAGTTCTTGAAGAAGCTAAAACCATCAATAAGTCCCTCTCAGCATTAGGTAATGTGATCAATGCTCTGACTTGTGGTTCACCAGCCAAAGCAAACCATATTCCTTATCGTGATTCCAAGCTCACTCGAATCTTGCAAGATGCTCTTGTTAGTTCCCTACCTCCTAATTTCATCTCTCTGTACTGTCATCAAATCAGTTTGATGATCTGTTGCTTTTCATGATAAATTTGCAGGGGGGGAGCTCTCGCACTGCATTGCTTTGTTGTTGCTCACCAAGTCCTTCAAATTCATCAGAAAGCCTGTCCACTCTTCGTTTTGGTGCAAGGTTCAATGCTTGTTTGTCACTGAAAATGCTGACCTCAGTTCTCTTTCTAGAAAAAGACTTTTAAAAAACAAAAAGGTTTCAACCTATGTTTAAAACACCAAAAGTTCAAGATGGACACCATTTGTGATATGGATAAAAGATGACCATCTAATAATCGATGTCCTTGAAATCTGAATTTTGGCATCGAGCAATCTTTTCATTTCACTTTTTGGGTGCAATTTTCATTTTCATGGCAGGGCAAAGCATATAAAGGCCTCACCACTTGTTAAGGGCAATGAAGAGAAATGTTCTAAGAAGAACGGAGCTTTTTCAGCAACTACAGATGAATCATTTGAGAAAATTCTAAAAAGGGTTCGTTTATGATCTGAAATTCTTCTGTAGATGAAATATTCATGTCACTTTCTGATATGGTTTATACTTGTTTAGATGAGTGAGAGACTTAATGATGAAGACGTGAAGTTACTTGAGGAATTATTCATTCAGGCAGGACTATTTGTCTATCCTGATTCAACGGAAGACTTGGAATCAACCTTTCAAGGTGTTGTTCAACAAACCATTTCTTCATTGATGCAAGCTGCGGAACAGCTCAAATCTACTGTTGAGATGGTAATAATTTTTGCTAGCCATTTATTGTCTTCTACTAGAGAAAAAAAGGGAAAAACAAAGAGGGGATAAAAGTGAAATATGTTCTATATAAATTTTGTTTGCCCAGTGTCCACTTTTAACTCTTGTGGTGATAGCTCCAAAATGAAAGAATAAAAAAAAATCTAATCACATTTTCATTTGATTAAAACTTTCAGTCAGTTTTGCTCTAGTTCTTGCCCGAAGTTATACTGAATAATATGTTAAATAATCATAATAAAATGGTCCAAAGTTTTTTTCTGGACAAACAGGATCTGCATTTCATGCAAGTTTGAAGTTACTTCTCATGTAATAACTGAGCCTACCAACTTTGTAGCTTCAGAGAGAGAACAAGGCCCTCAAGGAAAGACTTGCCGCTGCTGAAAGGTTTGATGCTTTGCCTGGAGAAAATGAAGGTTTTCTTCATAAGATTTTAGCCTTTCTCATCTCCTTTGTTCCTGGAATGTGAAGATGAAACTTTATATGCCACTCCATGATGCTGGTTTAGACATACTGACAGGATATAAAGTAGAATCCTGTGATTAAATGTGATTACAACCCGTGAAATGCATAACTGTTGTAATTTTGTCTGGAGTCAGTCAACCAAGGCCTAGCTTTGGCTGAGAAAATAGTAAAGTGTCAAAGCTCAAAACTAATGATTTTACAACATGTTTTTTTTAACTATTATTATCCAATTTTGCTATAGTTGAAATATTATAATTCATATATTCATGTTATATAAAACACTAAAATTCATGAATTAATATCATATTTTACACGAAAATTAAATGTTATAATTTTTTTAGTACGAAAAACTCAAATATTTTTTTAATTTATTTAAATTTATATATAATTATTATTATAATTTTAAGCTATTATCTTTATATTTTATTTCATATGTATTCGTATCATATTATCGTATCGTATTTTAAATTATCAAATTTTTTATGAATGTTTTCTTGTTTAGGGTGTTAAGTCTTGGGCTGGATGGTCATGTACCATCTTCAGAGGGACGAAGTTAGCAAAACTTATGGAACAAATCTAGGGTCCTACCTTTTTAAGAGGGTATTGAGCATGACCCCTCAAATGCCCCAAAGGTTTGCTGATCAAGAATATTGGAGCTAGAGATTTTGTAACGGTCGGCTCATCATTGATTTCCCAAGTAATGCTCTCATTACCACTTCAAATTATATACAATAAAGTAAGTATTAAAATTTAAAAATTAAATCTATTTAATATCATTTTTAAAAACTTCAATTTTTTTTAAAAAATAATTACATAACTAAATAAGATTACGTTTTAAGGGACATTTTTAGTTGAATTTTTTTATTATAAAAAAAGAAATTCAAATTCAATTTTTTAAATTGGAATGATATATTTAATCTTAAATCTATGTGAATGATATAACAAATGTGTAATTCTCTTTTCATCCATATTTTTACTTTTTAAATGTAATTTTATTTTTTTGAAAAATCTTAATCTCATGGTAACTGATAATTATGTTAAAAAAGGTAAAAAGTGTGAATATAGATTGTCCAAGTAAATGAAGTTAGTGCTCTTGGATAAAGATTTATGGGACCATACCAAATCTGGTTCCCTTATGCTTTATACAATCTCCAAAAGTTTGCATTATGCTTCGTCGTTTGGTGATTATTTGATAAAAGTGAAAGAAATATGGAACATGTGAGAATGGGGCATCCCAACCCTCTAGTTTAGGAGAGGACAAAAAGAAATGGGTTTTTGTTTTTGGTGTTCGTTTTGGCAATTTTTGCTTACCACAATTGAAAGCAAAGTTCCACTGGCTGGGACACATACCACCTACCAAACCAGCCATTATTTATGGTTGGAAAAAAAAATTGTAAGATACAAGCCCTGGACTCTGGTGATCCTGCTGTAATCCATGGCTCCGAAGGCTTATATTCTCCATGTCTTTGCCTTGGTGTTCATCTTCTTGCCTCTAACCAAGTCCATTGACTTCAAATTCCCTGCTATTTTCAACTTTGGTGATTCTAATTCTGATACAGGTGACCTAGTTGCTGCTGGAATTGAAAGCCTTGAGCCACCTTATGGTCAAAGTTACTTCCAAATACCGTCCGGGAGATACTGCGATGGCCGTCTCATCATTGATTTTCTAAGTTAACTTTCCAACTATTTCCACGACTTGCATTGCATATGCAGTTTTGTTCATCATGACTCTGCTTTACCCCTGCATATTACCTAGCTTCTCTGTTTCCTCTGTTTTCTAGGAGAAACAAGAGAGTTTCTTGTTCTTTTCCATCTAATTTCATTTTGTTCTTTGGTTATTGGGATATTGTTTGCAGTGGATGCAATGGATCTGCCATTTCTAAATGCTTATCTAGATTCAATTGGCACACCAAGTTTCCACAAAGGGTGCAATTTTGCAGCTGCAGGATCAACTATTCTCCCACCTACTGCACATTCTGTCAGTCCATTCTCATTTGGAGTTCAAGTGGCTCAGTTTATACGGTTCAAAGCTCGGGTTCTCGAACTAGTAGCTAAAGGTGCCCACATAGATCATCATCTAGAGAATGCATTCATCTTCATTGGCAATGATGCTTTTTTCTTTATAACCGACTGCCTAAACTGTACTTACATGAATAGCAGTTAGAAATTTACTAGATATACCGGCATTTTTCATTTAATTGCAGGTAAAAAACTTGATGAGTACCTTCCAACAGAAGATTATTTTCAGAAGGGGCTCTACATGTTCGATATCGGCCAGAATGATCTTGCCGGTGCCTTTTATTCTAAAACCTTTGATCAAATACTTGCCTTCATTCCTTCAGTCTTGACAGAATTTGAAACTGGAATAAAGGTCAGCTTCAAGAACGCTACAATAGTATTATTCATCTTCAAGTCTTCCTTATTGAGAGACACATTTTATTGTCATGATGAGCTATTGAGAATCCTAATCCTGGACTTTTTGGTTTTCCTTGTAGACACTATATGATCAAGGGGCTAGGAATTTTTGGATACATAACACAGGACCTCTTGGTTGCTTAGCTCAAAATGTTGCCAAATTCGGAACAGATCCATCTAGCCTTGATGAGCTAGGATGTGTCAGCAAGCATAACCAAGCTGCTAAAGTCTTCAATCTGCAGCTTCATGCCCTTTGTAAAAAATTGCAGGGCCAGTATACAGATTCAAAATTTACATACATTGACATCTACACAATAAAATCCAACCTTATAGCAAATTATTCTAAATTCGGTAAGTATGATTTCATTCTGTCTACGACGACAGCTTGATTTTCCATCTTCAGGATAAGCAAAGTTGCCATTCTATTGTCCATCAGGGATTTCAAATAGAAAGAATTAAACTTATGCCTTCTCTCCAATATCATATTTCAGTGAGAGATAAATTAGGGGTACAAGTATGGAATAGAAATGATTTTGAGTGCTTACAATTTTGCAGGATTTGAGCAGCCTATAATGGCTTGTTGTGGATACGGAGGTCCACCTTTGAATTATGACAGCCGAATTGGTTGTGGGAAAATAAAAGTCATTGATGGAACCTCAGTGACAGCCAAAGCATGCAATGATAGTTCTGAATATGTTAACTGGGATGGAATTCATTATTCGGAGGCTGCAAATCAGTATATTTCATCACAAATACTCACTGGAAAATACTCTGATCCACCCTTTTCAGACAAAATGCCATTCCTTCTTAATATCAAGTTCTGAAGGCCTAATTTACTCATTGTTGTGACTCTTTTTATTGACTTCTAGCAGTCACTGCATGTGTTATTGATCAGAACTTACTGTAAAGAATTATAATTTGTGACTGAAAGTCAGTTATTCAGACATTGCACTCTGCCATTTACTTACTCTATTGACACAAAGGTAAACTATTTATACGCAGAGTGTTTATATATATGTGTGGCATATGCAGCTACACTCTCAAACTGGAATATTTACTATGGCTTGATTTTTAAATATCCAGTATTCGACTTAAGTGATACTCATTGAATTTTTATGCTAAATGATAGGCAGTTAAAATCATTCATTCATTCATTCATTGGCTTCGATTTTTGATTTGCAGCCATAAGCATTCTAATTGATCATGTGCTATGGTACAGCTTTGTTTAGATCAAACATTATATTGATTCTGGTTTTTTGAATACAAACCAAAAATCTGTACTACTGCTTAGAGTGAAGTGACAGATACACATTACTTCTTGGAGACATAAGCATAGTATTGTGCCATGGGAACGACAAAAGCAATCACCAACAAACCTCCAACTACAAGGCTGAATTGTCCCCGTTTCTCTTCTGTCTCTTCCCTGGATTTAAAATTGGACTCCCGCTTATTCTCCTTAAACATGGGGCCGCCAGGATCTGGAAGTCCATCAATGGCAGCAACTAGCCGTTTGGCACTGCTGTAAATTGCTTCATTGTACTTTTCTTCCGTAGCCAAAACTGCAATTGAGAGAACAGTATGGTCAGTATAACTGCAACAAAAGAAATGAAAGGAAAAGAAAGATATTCTACATGGTTTTGCGGCAAGAACTTACAGATTCATACCATTAAATCTGCCCCCAGTAATCTTTGAATTCTTATGTTTTCGATATCTTCAAACATTTCAAAGTACAGGACTAAGGAATATAATAAGGTTTTCAATTTCAGTTTCAGTAACAAAAAGAAAACTTACCGGGAAGGTTCTCTGATACAGTAGCATCAAGAATATTTTCTCCGACAGCTTCGACAAATGCAGGTCCACCAGTGACCGCCCCTTCTTTCTGGCTTGTAACAAGCACAACAATACCTTTATTGCTACCCTCTTCAAGTGTGGGATACCAGCGCTCCAAAACTTGGTCAGCATACTCAAAAGCATCAGCTTTGCTCTGAAATCAAATTTATTTCTTCAATCATAATTCTCAAACTTACATATGTTTCACAAGTTAAAAGCAATCCAATATTCTCACTGTTGATGAGAAACTCAAAGTAAAAGAAAATGCATTATTGGTATTATGACTTCATGTATAATATATGTAAAAGTAAAAGAACAATAAGAAACCAGCAAGGTATCTCATGGAAGTCAGAAACTCACAATTATACAAGTAAACCAGTCAATTCATGAAAACAAGATCTTACCGTGAGCTTTCTAACGGTAATAAAGTTAATGTGGAAGTTCTTCCTTGATTCCAAATCAGATAAAAGTTGCTTCAGATCAGATTTTGTCAATCTACTAAGCACATTAGCATCATCAACTACATAGGAGTCCTTTGGTGGCCCCTCATTAATTACATCAAACTCTGATGCCAATGCATTGCCAATGTACAAGACTGGAGAAAAATTGAGTGCCAAAGAGATAGCTAGAGCTGCTAGTCCTTTTTGTGCATGAACAAACCAATTTTTTGGTTCTGTCAAAGATGGTCTTAGTGATTGGGAAGTGTGTTTTTTGCGGCTACAAGTAAAGGGTTTTGAGAGAAAGAGAGAAGCTGGTCTTGGTTGAAGTGAAGGTGACAAAAGGTTCTTAGAGGTGGATGCTTTTGGATTCAAGATTGGAGAAAGAGAGTGAGAAGAGAGAATGGTTTCCATGTTAACTGTTCACCAGCTGGTGGATAGGAGAGAAACGAAAAGTTTTGAAAGAATTAAAAGAGAGAAAAGAAAGAATTTTTCATTGCCCTTTCCATGTGTTTCTCGTTTCTGTTGAGTTTAGAATGTTTGAGTGGTCTGGAATTTGTCCATTTTTTGATTGGTTGGCCATATTTTTTCTGGAGGATAACGTCCCTCACCAATGAAGATAAACAAGGTTATATTGGTCTATTCATAATTTATCAGGGCTATCCCAAAGTGCTTATCTGAGACGTACATCATTTTCAATAAAATAAAATGGCCTCCTGTTACTGTCCCACATTATCTACTCGTCTATTAACAACCAAGAACTCCATTTTCCCTCCTCATGGCCCTTCTTCTCTCCTTGTCTCTACACCCTCCAAACGCCAAACGTACCACTCTCAAGACTCCAGTTCCAACCAATATCATTAAAACTCTCAATACTAGACAGTTCATCATTAATGCTACTTCATTCTGCATCATTTTATGGGCCCAACAAATCCCAGTTCCACTATCTTTAGCTGAGACTTCTACATCTTCCAAGCCGGCTTTGAATATTGCCAATACCAAATCTTGATTCCAGTTCTATGTTGATGATTTTGCCATCAGGGTTCCTCCTGAGTTTGAGGACATCATGGAGCCTGAGGTACATATATTCATCTGATAAAAAAAAAGAAACTTGTATTTAACAGGCATTGCAAATTTGCAATTAGTTGCATTCTGTTTCCTTCTCTTTCAATAATTGAGATTATATATACTTTCTGACCAATGTAGCCATTCTCGGATAGTTTCAGCTACTTGTAAATGGTACTTTAATGCAGATTTTTAATGCACTTTAATGGTACTAATTGCCTGTGCTGTCAATTTGATCTCAATGGCCATTAGTTTTGATGCATAGTTTTTTCAATTTAATATTTTATTCTGGCTAAATCTGCTGCATGCTTATATTCTTGCTGTCTATGGTTTGGCATCAAGTTGCAAAAAGAGATGCTTCTGCACTCATTACCAAAAATTTTTGTTGTTTATGGAAAATAATATTGGAGTTAATACTAAATTATGATCAGTATTTCTAAAGATAATAGAGTTTTGTTGCTTTTGTTGATATAATTATTCAATTGCTCTATGTCTGTAGGATTTTAATGCCAGAGCATCTCTGTACGGGGACAAGGCAAAGCCTAGGACTTTTGCAGCACGATTTGCATCAACTAACGGGTATGCAGTTTTATACCATGTTCCTTTCCCTTATCTCTTCATTTCATGCTCGTTTATTTTTCTGCATGATTAGATATGCAGAAGCTTATGCTCCCTAAGAGTAATTTATGGATGAACCATGCACAAAAGAGTTTTGTTCTGTAAAACTTCTCATGTTCTCAGCTTGTATTTGAAATCTGTCATATTGGTATATGTTCAGATCTGAGGTTTTGAGTGTTGTCATTCGCTCAACAAATCAACTCAAAATCACCTTTCTGGAGGTTTGTGTCATGTGGTTTATTATTAGAGCTGGATTAGCCCTCCGAGAGCATATATATCAGTTGTTGTAATGTTCAGATTTCTGCCATGGTTGCCAATCAATGCATGCCATATATAATGAGTTCAAAATGATATTGAATCATAACTTTTAGATATATAGATTATAGAGCTCTCCTAAATTATTACCGTTAATGTATCAGTCTATTTTAACCAATCAATCGGGTTTTCAACTTATTAGATTACAGTATGTAATGTTTGCCATGTTACCCTATCTCCTGGATTGATCGGTTTCATCTATTTGGAGTATTTTGCCGTCAGCTTTCTAGAGAACTTATAAGATCTTTTCTTACTTGAGCAGGCCCAAGATATTACTGATTTAGGTTCCATAAAGGAGGCAGCTAAAATCTTTGTACCAGGATGGTTATGACTAAAATCTATGTCCCATGTTGATTTGGGTTCCATAAAATGTAATTATTTCTGTCTATCAAGTATTATATAGGAATAAATGAACACTAGCTTTCTTCTTGACTCCAGTCATCATTACCATTGGTCTTCAATTCTAGTTTTGATGCAATGGCAGGTGAAGCAACTCTTTACAGTGCCCGAACCATAAAGATAAAGGAAGATGAAGGTTTCATGTAAGTTATAGTTTTGATATTCCAGGACTACTATAAACTATCGATGATTCATTGGAAGTATGTTGCCCACCAAGTTACAAAGGATAAGGAATATAACGTAGAAGAAAAGTTGTTAAGGCATTTGTATGAAGTGCACTATCTTTGTATCTGACTCTGATGTATGCTACTGAAATGCTTGATTCATGTCAGGACTTACTATTTCTATGAATTTGGAAGAGATGAGCAACGCATTGCAGTGGTGGCTGCAGTTAACAGTGGAAAGGTGTGTGAATGAATACTCTTGTTGTTAATATGACTGTTATTCATTTCCGTAATTATGATACAATAGTTCTTATCTTGCCAAAAGATAAGCCAACGTATAGCATGGCATATTGCCTCAAGATTGTGCATGAACGATTAAGCTTAAGGCTGATTGCATTTTGGCTGATACTCAGACCTGTCAGCTAAATTTCAGGAATACAATTCTTACTGGGATTCTGATGCAAAAAATCTTACATATTGATCAGTCTCATGTTGTATATCTAATGAGCTAACTTTTGTTGCAGGCTATTATTGCTGGAGCAACTGCTACACAGTCCAAAGAGGATGATGATGGAGTGAAGCTACGGTCTGCAGCAATCTCATTGACAGTTCTGTTGTCATTTGCACAGTAACATATTAGGCAGGTTTGTTGAACCACATATTCAGTTTTTACAAGAAACTGATTGGTTTGGGAATTGCTCTCTGGTCATTATCTTGTTATAGACTTCATATCAGAGATTCATCTGCCCTTTTTGGCCTTGACTTCATGTGGGCAGCCCTTTGCCTTTTCAAACAACTTTCATTCTACAACAAATTGCACATTGGGTCGATGACACATTTTTGAAACAACAGCTTGAAAACAGCAGAAAGCTTAAAGAGTTTGAATATAAACTCCTTCATTTGTGGTATATTTGATGACCTTTAAGCACAGTTTGCTGATATTTTTGGGTTAGAATTGTTCATTTCATTCCTTTAACACCATATCTGATGACTCAAAAGTAACATTAACCTGCCTGATTCTATTTTGCTTGTATGAAACATCATACAAGTGTACTGACAAGAATTTTCAATAACTCATTGGCCTTGACACATAAATGCAATGAAACTATGTCATGTTGACTCATAAATGCAATGAAAATGGAGTAATTTCTGATAACAATTGTACATGCATGCATGCCGGGCTTAGCTCTGGTCTTCCAGAAAAAATATTCAAGAGGGAGTTCGACCCCACTCTAATAAATATGTTTCTTAGGACCTAAGGAAATGCAGCAAATTCTTTTTTCCAGTACAGAAGTGAGAAATTATTTGCTAAAATAAAAAAGAAATTATTTCCTTTTTTTTTTAACTATCATATATAAATATATATATATATATGTATATATTTTGCATTTTCTATCAACAGACATATGTCTATCGACGATATATTACATTTTAAATATATAGCATTGAAATCATGAGGTTTTTTTTTGTTTTTTTATTTTTTGAAATTATGAGGTTATTAACATATATTGAAGGTCTCTACATTATTGATTTAAGGGGAAATACTTAACTATGATTTAATCATTGCAAAAGGAGCCTTGACTTTTAATTTTTAGGCTTTAATTTTTGCCAATGATTAATCCTCTAGGCTGGCTATAACATTCATGGATGTAAATGGCCACGTTTCGACGCCTCAATGACTCAATGGGGTTTTTCTTTTTTTAATCCTAAGCATTCTAGGGTTCTTGGAACTAATGGCTGTATCAAACAAACATACCCTTAAGCAGTACTGATCTCCTGTAGGTTGACTCACCTATTCACCGACTTCCCACCAGTGAATTCTTGACATGACACAACAAATTCAACGGAAGTTCACTTTTGTTATGCCCAAAAAAATGGAAATTTCCATTTTTATTTCCCTAATTTTCCTTACATTAGCTTTAAGCCCAATTAAAAAAGAATAATTTATTTATTTTACTCTTTGTGCTCAAGCAATTAAAATATTTCATCCTCCTCCTTTATCCTTGATAGAACAAAAAAAAAAAAAGGGTATAAGTGCAATTTTTTAGACTTTCTAGCATAAATAATAAAAATATAAAAATCGATAAAATGAAATGCAAAATTTAAATTTTATATTTTACATTATGTTAATAATATAATTTTAAGAACATGTATTTCAATTAAAGATATATTTGGTATCGTAATTAAAAAAACTCTTATTATGTCATAATATCATTTTATGAATAGATCCTTATAATATAATGAAAATCTTTTTCATCATGATACCAAATGAAACATAAAATAAATTATTTTAATTTTACTTATTGTTAAATTAAATTTTAGATCTTGTAATTTAAAATACAATATAGTAATATAATATGTGTACAATACGAATAAAAAACACAAAAATGCATAATACGATTTAAAATTTTAATAATAATTATATATAAATTTAACAAAATAAAAAAATATATTTTATATTTTCATATCAATAAAAATTATAATACATAATTTTTATATAAAACACGATATAAATATATAAATTTTAATAGTTTATATAAATAAATGCATAAATATTCATATTTATCAAATTTAGCCTTTGATAAGCATCGTAGAGAATTCGAAGAAGAGTGAAGGCATGATGTTACTTTAATAATTTCCTAGTATTTTCAATTTGACGTGGCAGAATTTTATTGTTACATATGGCAGATAGTAGGTGATAGCACAGGAAAAAAAAAATCCCCACATTACCCATGTACCTACCAGTCTTCCCTCCAACGGTTGCTTTAAAATGAAAGAACCAAGACTATCTGTTTAAACTCAAATTGAACCCTTAATCTTTGCCACCATTCCAGAGGCTTCATATGAACTTTTCTAGTGTTCCCTGAAGCAATCAGTGCATCAAAAACCAACTCTTCTTGTGAATGCAAATTTCATCTGTAGACCCTCAAATATGTCCACCTTTGAAGCCATGTCACATCTTTCAGCAGTCCAAAGTTCATCAGATTTTCTTAGTACTACCACCATCATTGCACTTACAGTCTTCTTTTCACTTCTTTGTGCTTGTATCATTGTAGGACATCTACTCGAAGAGAACCGGTGGGCTAATGAGTCTATTACAGCACTTCTTTTGGTATGCAAAGTTGGTTTTAGCTTCAATTTTTGGCCATTGTTTTGGTGCATATAACAGTTGCGACTGATTTCTGTGTGGTCTGGATGTAGGGGCTGTGTGCTGGAGCTGTGGTATTGTTAGTGAGTAAAAGCAGTAGTTCTCGGATTCTAGTGTTCAGTGAGGAGTTGTTCTTCCTTTATTTGCTTCCTCCAATAATTTTCAATGCCGGGTATGAATCTGCTATCTTTGCTTCAAAACAGGTGTTTGAATTTAGGTTTGTGTTAAATAAACATGGGATGCAGATTTTTTGGTGCTTAGTATGTTCCATAAATGAAGATTGGAAGCAATTTTTGTCTCTTAATTTGAAAATCTGGCTGCAGATTCCAGGTCAAGAAAAAGCAGTTCTTCAAGAATTTCACAATAATATTGATGTTTGGAATTTTTGGTACTGTAATTTCATTCTGCCTCGTATCAATAGGTAAGATCTACTATTCTCTTGACTACTTACCTGGAAATGTTGATTGTTAATCCAGGACTTCAAATGCTCTGGAGCGTACATGGACATACCCAAAATTGAAAAACAAGAAAAGGAAAAATTTTCCCTGACAACCCAAAACCCTTTCCGTTAATAAATTTGATAAATTCGTCACAATTTTTATGTATATATTATAAACGGACACCTCCAGGAAAAGAAAAATCCTGATCTGTCACTGCACATAGTCAGATAAATAGCTTATGGTGAAAGGTTCAGTGACTGATTCTGTTATCTGATATGCTCTAGAAACAAAGTCCTAACTTGGTTAATATTTTTGGGAGACATTGCAGGTGCCTTTTTGCTGTTCAGGAGAATTGGTGTGACATCCTTGGATACTCAAGATTACTTAGGTGATATGAATATAACAAATGGAGATTCATCCTTTTCATATGCTGCCTGCAATTTTTATTCTCCAGCACTGACAGTTTCAGATTCCTAATGCAGCGGTTGGTGCCATATTGTCAGCAACTGATTCAGTGTGTACATTGCAGGTATATTTGATAAGCTTCTACTATTTGTTTAAATATAAATTTGCAGAAATTAATGCATGAATTGTTTTCTGGTGTTAAAGGTTCTGAATCAAGATGAAACACCTTTCCTCTATAGTGTTGTATTTGGGGAGGGAGTAGTGAATGATGCTACTTCTATTGTACTTTTCAATTCAGTCCAGTCAATTGATTTTGACAACATCGATGCCATAGTAGCCTTGAAACTGTTGGGGACCTTTCTTTACCTCTTCTTCTCCAGTACCATTCTTGGTATACTAGTAAGTGATCATCACATCTGGCTTCAATTACTGAGATTTTTCAACGAATATGATTCCCTTTTTTTCCTTTAATTTTTGGATATAGCCTATGGGGATGGAGTTTTTTGCATGCTCTTTCAGTCGCAGCTCTAGGCTGAGTCCATCCCTTGAATTTTTTTTAATTTCTTCCAGTCAGGAAAACAAGTTTTCTTTCTTTACTGTTATTCGAATAGATGATTTGTACAAGTGCTCTGGTGTGAATTTATCCAAAATTTCCTTGCTTAGAGCTTCTAGAATTAGCTAAAGCTAGGATTGGCAATTCCTTTAACCATGTCATGCTTATTTTGTGTAAAACACAAAAATTGTTATGTCATATTTCATATCAATACGTCAAATATGAAACATATTTTTTGATTTTATTAAATCCATATACATTTTTTGTTAAAATTTTAAACCATATTATCTTCATATCATTTTCATATTGTGTCATCGTACCATGTTTTAAATTCTCAAGTCTAACTAGAGCCACATAACCAAATCAGCCACACAATTTCATCTTATTTCAATCCAAATTTAAAGTTAGTATTTTGAGGGTTTAATGAGGCTTCAATAAATGCTAAATTACTCAATACCAATGTTTCAGGCAGGACTTTTAAGTGCTTTTATCATAAAAACGCTTTACTTTGGAAGGTATGGATGCCCTCCTTCAGTCGTTTGTCGATGCATTTGTTGCTAATATTCCTTCAAGACAATTCATAAGCAATGGCTTTCTGTTCTTAAAATATAGGCATTCAACAGATCGGGAAGTTGCTCTCATGATGATCATGGCTTATTTGTCATATATGTTGGCTGAGGTAGAATAAGAGAATCTCAAAAGTATTTCTTAATTTCATTTCCTTTTCTTCCGACAGAAAAAATCCCGCCACAGTACATTTCTTAGATGTAATAAACTTACTTTCTTCTTGCAGCTACTGAGTCTGAGTGGGATTTTGACAGTTTTTTTCTGTGGCATTGTCATGTCACACTACACATGGCATAATGTTACTGAAAGCTCGAGGATAACAACAAAGTAAAAGCATTCACATAGAAATAGATCTTGATTCCATACTTAACTATGAATGAGTTTGATGGATTTCCTTTTGACATGTTTTAATCTTCATTCTTCATACTGGTTGATGATTCCAGGCATGCATTTGCAACAATTTCATTCATTGCAGAAACATTTATATTCCTATATGTTGGCATGGATGCCTTCGACATTAACAAATGGAAAGCTAGCAGTGCAAGGTAATTTATTCTTACTGATTTATCGTTTGAGCAAATTACTCAGTTTCCTCTTAACTATATAACTCCAATATGCAACTTGGATGATTGAGCAGCTAGAATATCTTATGATTCTTACTTGCATCATATTCTGGATTCAGTGCAGGAACTTCAATTGCTGTCAGTTCAACACTGCTTGCATTGGTGTTGGTTGGAAGGGCAGCATTTGTATACCCTCTGGCAAATTTCATTAATTGTATTAGAAACCGAAGCAGTTCGAAGATTGAGTTTCGACAACAGGTGATAATGCAACCATCCAAGCATACAGCCATTGTCAAACAGTTCTAATCCCAACTTTTCTAACTCTTTGAATTCTCAGTTTATAATGTGGTGGGCAGGCCTGATGAGAGGTGCAGTCACTATTGCACTGTCTTACAACAAGGTAAATTATCCCATTTCTAAACCCGAGGTTTAGTTAAGTGGATTTATGCAAGTAACCCTTAAAACGTATATCCAACGGATCAAGGTTCAAACCCTTTGTTGATAAGTTCAAAATGACTCAAATGCAGTTTTCAAACTCTGAGGACACAAACATAGAAGATTCAGCACTAATGATCACCTCAACCATAATTGTTGTCCTGTTCAGTACAGTGGTAAGTTAATTAGTCCATAACTTCATATCCTACTTTTGCTATAAGTTGAAATTGTCCTGTCATGAACATTGGTCTGAAATTTTTGTTCTCGAGCAGGTCTTTGGTTCCATAACAAAGCCATTGATCGAAGCAATGCTGCTACGACATGCAAAACCAAATGTTTCAGATGCTGCTGACATTCCCAGCCTAGAAGACTTGAGAATTCTGTTTGTTGAAAATGGTGAACCAAGTGATTTGAGAGGGAATCAACCAGCAGCCCCTAAGAGAAGTAGTTTAAGGTTGCTATTGACTTACCCCACTTGGACTGCTCATTACTTGTGGAGAAATTTTGATGATAGATTCATGAGACCAGTTTTTGGTGGAAGAGGATTTGTTCCATTTGTGTCTGGTTCACCCACTAGTGCAGCTGATGAAACTTCAGGAACCTGATGGAAATCTGCAAGCATTAAAAATTTCTTTTTTTCTTATTTATTGATGATGTTATAATAATTTTTTTTCTTGTCCCGTAATAAAATCTTATTCAGTGTATTTTTGTATAGTAACGACAATGTAAAGGTATTGCAATTTTTTTATATAAATGAAGCAACAATTTGAAATAAGGAAAAGATTATAAATGTTAAGATTTAAATTTTAAATGTGTTGAATGTCACCTCTTAAAATGATTACACGAATTAAATGAGTTAAATTTCGAGTTCATTGTAACATAAAATTTATTGTGAATAGTGACAGATTCAGAATTTTTTTCGGTGGTATCTACTAGAAAATTTTTTCTTTAAACTTTCTTATATTTTATATTTTTTTCATTTTACATCTGCCTTTGATTGTAAATTTGAAAAAAATTTCATGTCTTCACTGCATTTAAAGGTTTCAATGTAGCATAAAAGATCATTTTTTATTGAGAAACCAAAACTTGCTTGGTAAATTCTTCTGGTATTCAAATTATTTTTATGGGCTTTGTTTTTCTTTTTAAATTGAAAAATGAAAAAAAAAAAAAAAAGTAAACCAAAATCTAAACAAATTGGGCTACATTGAGTCACAGTTAGTAACCCAGGCCCAAGTCGGGCCCATCAGACCCATAACGTTAAGCTGCATATATATTTGACGAAGCCGCGTTCTACCATATACTTTCTCCTTAAACCCTTGAAGAATCGCAATTCACAAACAAAAATCCTTTCTCTCTCTAAGATCACCAAAATCAGAACCATTAAAAAGCTTTGAAGCTTTGATTTTGATGAAAAAGATGGCTCTTTTACGAAGAATCAACACTGTTCGTTCTCTTTATCAAACCTTTGAGCTTCAACAATCTTCTTCGTTTCTGTAAGTTTTCATTTCCTTCTTGGAATTTACCATTTTGGTTCCTTCAAAAATGAAAGGAAAATCGTTAACCTTCGAAAATGGATTGATTTTATTTATTTTTTTAAATAGTGAAATCCTTTATATATATATATATATATATTTGGGTTTGTCTTACATTTTTGAGAACTTACTTTACAATGTTTGGTTACTGGGAAAATGAAGGAAATAGGGGGAAATTAGATTAGAAAATCAAAGAATACCCTTTTTTCTATTAAAGGGGTTTTTTTATTTTGGTATTAAAGCTTAGGTTTTTGCTTTTCAGGCTTAGGAGCTCAAGAAGCTATTCCACAGGGTTTTCAAATGGTAACAATTTTTTTAAAATTTTGTTAATTTCTATGGAATCCCATAAGCTTAGTTTATATTATGAGTTTTTGTTGTTTGTCACCAAAAAAGTGCTTCTTTTGATAATAATTTTAAATGGCTTTCATTGTTTGCAGTTCCTCAATTCTATGGCCAAGGCCAAGGCACAACTTATTGCTTTTACAAGACAGATAATAATGCTATTCCTTGGACTTCTAGAAACAAAATGACACTGCGTTCTACCATGGTAACATTCTGAAGTATGAAATGCAAAGTCAGATAATTTTTTTTTTCTTTTGTGTTGAAGCTCTTGATGTTATATTGCTAAGACAGTTAATCTGGTATCTTTGTCTGATTTGATTTAGGCTGCTGAATTGTTGATCTTTTTGAATGACAAAAAGTTCCTAGCCACACAAGCAAAAGCCCCTGCACAAGTTCGGAAAACAGTGTGACACCTTCTGAACTGGCCCTACTCAATATTACCTTTCTATCTCAATTAGTACTGGTGGTTGTTTCCTTTATGGTGCACCATTGCCATACATTTTGTATGCATATGTGTTTTTTGATTTGTTCTTACTTAGACCATATATGAACTTATAATGGTGTTTTATTATTCTATGATCATGCTGCACAAAGTAATTTAAGCCTATGCTCATGTCCTTTTCAATGCAGGGAGCTCAATTGTCCATTACTAGCCCTGGATTGGTCTGTGAGCCTTATGCTCCTGGTGAACCAATCACATTTTGGAAGAGGTTAGTCTGATTTCTGTGTAGTTGTTATTAAGGCATAAAGGTTTTGCAATGTAGTTTTCTTACTGAATCAAAATCATAGGTTCAGTTTGAAAGAATTTTTCCATAAGTGCCTATAGCACTATTGTCAAATTCAAGTATCTATCTTGTTGAACCCAATAGTCAAGTTTTTTGGTCAAGCAGGAGCAATATTGTGAAGATGCAGATAAAAAATGCATAAAATTGAATTGGGAGGCTGTCATTGCAATACATAGCTGTTTTGAGAACCAGGTTAATAACTTCAAGGTTAGGCCTAGCTTAAATTCTAAAATGTTTTGGTTGCCATGTCATTTACTGGCACAAATGGGTGATGCCATTCTCTGAAAGTAAAAGCAAAGTTTCTATCAACGAGGGAGAACTAGTCCAACTTCAAGTTGCAAAATATGTAGTTGAAGTTTAGAAATCATGTGGTTCATTCTCATTAGACTTACATTCTTATCGTATATAGCCTTTTCAACTGACTTCCAAAAACAGATTGTGAACATAACTTTGCCCTCAGGAGTCTTCTGATCTGTTGTGTGTCAGATATTTCACAAGAACCGGTTGGAGAAGAACAAAAGATGATATCAAGTCTGAGGTAACCATCCTGCATGCTTTATATAGTTTGTTCTAACTCAATTGTATATTCTTAAACACCCTATGCCAGGACATCCTTTTTGTGACAACATCTGACTATCATATACTATTTTTCTGAAAGATCTCTCTTCTGCTTTTCTTTTTAATACCTTAAGTACATAATAGTGGTAAGGTGAATCATGTGCAAATTGCAATGTAGAAATGTAGATATAGACTTGGAGAGATTCACTGCATGATTATCTAGTAAGTTACATTCCAGTTTCTTACTTGCAGCTCAAGAGTGCCTATGCGATTGCTAGGTTAAGGAGATCTGGATACTCAAAAAACCAGTTCTATAAGGAGGCCGTAGAACTATACAAGCAGGTATGCAGATCCACTGTCCTGAATTTGCTATTGCTATTATATTGCTTACTCTTTAAACTTGTGTACTAGGTTCATGGCCTAGGTTTGTGGCTATCATTGCACTGGGACCTAAGGTCTTCCGAAATATATGTGCAAATATATGCGCAAATTTGCTTTATTTTATATTTTCTTGGGTTATTGCTTGTAAAATTCCATTGATGTTCTTTCTCACCATGCTGTAACTAATTTCATTTCTCACAGATAAACACTCTAATAGCAAATGGTGACAAAACATCATTAAGGAAAGCAGTCACAGAGAATATGTTCTCTGTATGGTTCTATTCCTTCTAAAGCTGTCATTCTGTTGCTTCTCTAAGTTTTTTATGTCTACCTGTTTTTCATGTGTTAGGCTATTAACGGCATCTTGTTTTCTAATTTATACAATATTACAAAATAAATTGTTTGATTTCTGATAGGCACTCAAGAATGAAATTAAGCAAAGGGAATCTATCTGGAGTAAGGTTTACTGGGAGATGGTTGAACCTATTGTTAAAATACGAACTTTGCGAGCCCGACTGGTTAGTATCCAACTTATTATTTCTTTTAAGGTGTTAGTTGTCCCCATATTGTATTTGAAGTCCTACTTTTTTGTGAACTAAATAGAGATACTCAGATTAGAATGACAGGAAAAAGCTGCTGACCGATGCTTGCGATATTTGTTTGGTAGAAGGAAATGTTATATATGGTTTCTCAGCTTGATTATTTTCAACTGCCATGAATTACGAGAATTGCTGCAGCAGTTGATCTAGATGTATCCATTTTTTTAATTTATGAATGCATTGTAGTTGGAAAGCTCTTATTGTTGCACATATGTGACCCTTTAGATAAGGTTGTAACTTGTAATATGGTGGATTCCCACCTCCCCTTTTTTTTTTCTTTGTATCACCAAGATTTCTCTAGGAAAGTAGAGGAGACATACAGATATACATCCCTAATCGTAATTAATTATCAGTGTCACCTGTTCTTTATTTTAACTAATGTCCTGGCTTTTGGTGATTCTATATTACAGATTGGTGTTGATAAGAATGATGTTAATAAAGTGTTCGTACAACTTACGCTTGAGTTCCTGACTAAGGAGGTAAACTTATTCTACTTCAATTTCCTCTATCTTTGTATGGCTACACACGTGGATGCATATTGATGATCCTATTTAAAACAGAACACAGTCAACCCATACTTTGAAGATATCCATCCTTGGTGTGCTGCTCTTGCAAGATTGCAGCCATACCCAAACATGACCAAGAATTTAATATTTTGTTATTTCTTGAATGAAATTTATCCTTTGTTATTGATGCTGCAGCAACAATTGTACACGACCACTTGTTTATTGAATATATCTAGGACCATTTGTTGATCATGGATTGACCTGGATAGTGTCTTGTTGTTTTGGCAGAAATTTGAAGCATATGATTCAAAAGGTGCTGTTGTTGCTGGGGATAAAACTAAGGAGGTATTGATTTTTAGTAATATTGATATGACATTGACACTTGATTTTTTCCACTCTTTAAAGTTCATCTTCTTTCGATTGATATAATTTGTTGCAATATTCTAACCACTTTCTAGAAAGCTGTTAAAACTCAAAGTGGTTAAGATTAAGAATCTCTTGAGGGTTAATTCAGATTGGTCAGTTAGGTACTTTGAGATTCTGCAATTAACCAACTTGAAATGTTATATTATGTAAAAAAAAAATTTGCATATAATAGAAATGACTGTGGAATGAAAAGGCATTCATGTAGAGTCAGGTCCCATTGAGATGGTATACAACTCAGTATTCACATGCATTGCTGTATAGATATATCATGTATCAATCACTATTGATGCACCATGATTGTTACCAAGTGTGGTCTCAACTGCTTTGGTTTTCCATGTAATCCCTGCCCATGTTTTGCAGGTTCTTGTTCGTTCTATCTGGGTATTTGAGAAGTCTCTCTTTCATCCTGGAGCTTATTGGCGCCTCTGTGGACGAATTAAAATGTGATGCCAGCTATTATTGATGGCAGACGGATACTTGCCACCCAATCTTGTTAGCTGACCATGTTGAAATTCATGCAGTCAATATAATCTATCCATTTTGATAGACCCATTTTGATAGACTCAATTTTTGGCGTGACGTCTTTGAAGACTATATAAAATGACTAGCAGTTTATTATTTAATGCCCTATCTTTCTAATTTCTCTCCTCACGCAGTCCTTCTTGTTCCTAACACGCGCTGTTATCGACAAATCGATGCCGTCTTCCCAGAAATCATCTTCCTCTCCCGAGTCAAGTGGAAGAACTAGTTCAGAATTATGTTCTAGGATTTATAACTTGCTTCAATCGGGCTTTGTGCATTGTGTAGAAGCAATGGCCGGTAGGTAAGATGGACAAAAGTTTGGGGTTTTGACATTTGGAAGTCCATTAAGAAAAGAAAAGTATTTCTCCCGAGTAGTTTCTCCTTGCTTCCAAGTAAAGTATCCATGAAATGAATTAACCTTCCTTCCATTCTCATTTGCTGATCAGATTCTTAAACAATCATAGGCCCTTTTAGAATTATATCCCAGAAATGGATCAAAGGTTTCTTGGCCTTTGCCACAGGCTCTACAACTTCATCAAGAAATTTCTAGCAACATATGCCATGAAAAGTGTAACTTTAGGCCGTGGTTCTCATCAGTCTCCAGCTCAATTACCTACCTCCGGTGCTGCGTCAGCCATATCCAGCTCCATGACTGACCAAGCAACACACCCCATGGCTCAAGAACCACCACTCGAAGATACAAGTTTGCATGCCGAAGTAGAGCCTGATCCAGCTCATAATCATAAAAATGTTCAGGAAATGGGTGATGATGGCATTTCTTCTTCACCATCAAAGGAAGAGAAAATTGAAGAGGAAGCAGCAGTGTCTTCAATTGCACCTGAAGCTCGACCTCCAAAGAAAATGGTCAGCATAAATGAAACAGTAGAAGAGATGCCTGCAACCAGCAACAAAAGTAAAAAGAAGAAAAGAACAGAAAAGGTGGGTTCATTTGACCAAGAAACAGATGAGCCAAAATCTTTGAAATCCATTTTAAAGGTGAGGTCTAAGCCAGATGAGAATTAATATATGAATTTTTTTGGCCTTGGAGATGGCTCAATTGATAGAGCTAGCTGTTGCAAGTTGCAACCATAGATTGTCAATTCAACTGAATGGTTAAATTCTCCATGCCAAAAAAAAGGGGAAAAATTTCAATTTGGTCCAACCCTGAAAATATATGGAATTATATCATATCAATGCATTATCTCATTTAGTTTGAATAAACATTATCAATTGTTTCAATTTCTATTCTTCTTCTATATAGGTTTTTCCAACCTCAAGAATGGCCAAATTTCAGGGAGATATTTCTCATTTTAAAAAAAAAGTTAAAGCAACAAATAGGATATTTGTTTTGCTCTTTGTTGATATTAGTATTAATTTTATCTTGAATATATGTACCCAATGACATCGTCCACAATTATTAGATAAATTCAAAGATAAGATCTATCCATTCATAAGTCAATTGTATATAAACCTATTTATCAAAATTTATATTCATAAGTCACTTTCTTATTTCTTACTTATATTAATGTTTCATTAATAATGATCTTGCTAACATAAGATTATATTTGACCATTCGTGATTTTTTATTTGTTTATTTCGTATCTAATATATATAAAATTATCGTATCACAATTTATATTTACATACCGAATACAAAATATATTTTTTATTTTTATAAAATTCATATACAATTTTTATTAAAATTTTAAACCGAATTACTTTCACGTCTTTTTATATATCATTTCCGTCTTACATCACCTTGTCATATTTAAAATTAATAAGTCAATTATGAGTTGCTTGTTAAATCTATCTACATGAATGAACTTTTCAATAGAAATTACTACAACACAACTTTTGAATTCTAATAATCAGTATCTAAACCATTTTTTTGGTATCATCATATGAGTCAATATCAACTTCTTTGACATCCTCATCATCTGAGTCTAATTGATGGTTAAAAAATGAATTAAGATAACAGCTAGAATGATCATTCGAATCAGCCCTGTTGGCATTAATCCGCCATTTCTGATCTTCTATCATTTCTGCAGATAGTCCCCATTCTAGCAACTCTTCATCTGTATGATGGATTGCTAAGCTATATTCTCCACTATGTCCCAACTCCATAACTCGAATCTCACAATTGCCAAGATTGTTTAAGAGCTCGAATTGCTCAACTGTCCATTTGAACCACTTCATTAGAAACACCCGGCAGGCCAGACCGTGTGAGATTATTATGAGATTAAAGTCTTGAGTAGGATCAATGTGAAGCCTATTTAAGTCTATGTCTCTCCATAGTGATTCAAGAAAACCTGCAAAATTCAAGATATTTCTTTCACTATTGCTTTCATTAATCCAAAATGCATATCAAAACCTTTTTTTTTTTTTTTTTGGTACAAAACGGGCTGCAACTTGAGAATAGCAGAAAGGATTGCAGATGCCAAGATTTGAACCCCAAACCTACTAAATGCCACCTCTTACTGGTAGCTACATGAACCAAATATCAAAACCATTTGATTATCAAGGGCCATTCTCTAAGGACTACGATTTAAGAAGAAGAAAGATTCATCCCTTTTGTCTCATTTTCCAATAGATACAACCACTTGACCATCATAATCCACTTGAAAAGCCAGAGTCACATCTGGTTCAATCCTAATTTCCTTACTTGAAGCCTCCTAAAGCCAGTGACATAATTATTGTTACCTCACTCAAGTTCTACATGTATTAAATGGCAAATCAAGCCCTCCAACCAACCATTTTAGCAAATGGTTTCCACAAAGTCACTCTCAATAGTCATGCACAACCATCATAAGAAGAATTAAAATCACTCATCAAGTACAATTGCCTAATATTTTAGCATGTCCTGCCACCAGAATATTATCCATATAAAAAATTTTGACTAAAATGGCACCTAATATAATACGTTTGCGGTAAAAAAAACTGTTTGACTTATTTCCTAGGTTCGACTAACATTTTGAAGACGCCATTTTTGTGCAGAGATTTAAGATCAGACAAACATGCATACATCAAAGAAATCTATGCTCATACATAATCAAGGAAGAAATCAAACAGAACAGTCCTTTACTATATTCAAAACAGAACCCAATTTTTTATTTAGAAGTTGTTTGCTTTCAAGGTTTCAAAACAAGCCATTATCTAATGGCATCGTTTCCAGAAACATTTCTTTCCAACAATAGCAAAAATACAGACAGATGCGGACAGATGTTCCTAGTCTTTGATTCTCTTTTCTTCCTGCTTTCACAATCAATGAAAAAACTTTCAATGCCATTAACAAATGTCCATGAACCAATTCCAATCAACTAATACACTAAGTAACTGACTAACTAACTAAAGAAACCAAAGACGAGATTGCTTCTATGAACTCGGAAATTCCACCAAAAAGATAACTTTTTTTTCAAAAGTTTTGACTTTAACAACAAGTGAAAAACTATTCAATTTCTCATTTCCAAATCACCATTTTCTCAGCAGAAACTTAATTTCCTAACAACCCTTTAACCAAAAAGAACGGAAATTTTCTCAAGAAAACAAAAGAAAACTCAAGAACTTACTGGAAACACGATCAAAAACATCAGCAGCAGATTCACCTTCCGGGAACCTATAAAAGAACCTCCCAAACTTTTCCCTCGTCTCCTTTATAACTCTCATCCTTTCCTCCACCTGGAAATTCCCAAAGTCCTGTTCTCTAATCCTACACTCTTCCCTCACCCCAATCACCCTTTTCTTGGAAAACGATTTCCCGATCTCCCGTAGAGTGGATCGGGTGCGCTCGTAAGGAGAGACGTAGAAGTAGACCCGCCAATCAGAGGAAGAGCCATGGCAGGAAATGAGGTCCCGGAGGTGGGAACCGGCCAGGCGGGCTTGAGCATGGCCTAGTTCGGTTAAGGAGATCTGGTGGTCGGGGATTGTCGAGTAGGCTGAGGTGTCTAAGTTGCCTTCGGACTCACCATGTCGGACTAGGATTATGCGTTTCGGTAACGGCTTCCAGCTGTGGTGCTGATGGTGGTTACGATTATGGTTATTCTCTTGCATTCTTTTCTAATTCTTGCTGGAAATGTGGGATTTGGGGATTGGTTAGAATGTTGAACATGTGAATTAAAGGTTTGATTTTCCTCTAAAGGTTTGATTTTTTTTTTTTTTTAATTTAGAAATATCTTCTTTGTTACTGTTGGCTTTTTATTGCAAGGTTTCAATGGTCCTACTTTCTTTATTTACTATGTATAGTAAACCTTAATTTTGGAATTTTGTTTTTTATTCAAAAGTTAAGGATATATATAGCTTTTTTTATGAGTAGTTGGATTTTGCCCCTTTTATTTAATGTAATTTTTTTTTTTAGTTTTAAGTAAAATTTTTCCATATTTGATTTTGTAAGTATTATTGTTTGAATTTTTTTAATCTTTTAATTACTTTTTTATTATTTTTTTATAAAGAGTGTCATAATTGAAAATGAAATATCCGAAAAAAATTATAAATATTAAATATTAAATTTATAGACACAAAGAAAAAAATTCTAATTTTTTTTTATAAAAACATTTTAAATGAAGAGAGATTATCCCATTTCAAAATCATAATATAGTGTAGTTTCAATTAAAATGTATATTGAATTTGCAAATCACTTGTTGAAAAAATAATTAAAATAAAATTTAAAACTTACAAATAAAATATTCTGATTCTTATCAATTCAACCAACTTTCGTTACTAAGAATATCAATTTTAGGATAGTTAATAATTGTAAATACATGTTTATCATTCAATGCAATCAATAATCTCTTTTAATTATATTCGTTTATTAAAAAAATTAGTTTGATTTTTATATTCGATTTTAAATTTAATTTTTTGTTTTAACTAGTGATAGCAACAGATCTGGTTAGGGAGAGTTTTTACTCGTCCTGAACCCGATCTGACCTTATAAAATTTTTATTATTTTTATATCTGAATTTAATCTGATTTAATATTATATAAAATCATATACAATTTGATTTAAAATTAATAAAATATTATTTTTAATATAAATATAAAATTATATATAATTAAATAATTAATTAAAAAATAACCGACTCATAATTTTTCTTTGTACCACTCGACTCGATACCTAATTAAAAAAAAATCAATCATAAGATTGGGTTAAATCGAAATCTGTCGATTTCTAATTTTTTTTGCCTTTTTTAGTTTTAACTTAAATTGATATGTAAAATATAAGAGATAAAATAGTAATTTTTTAATTAAAATAATAAAATATATTAAATTTTGAAAATTTGATTAAATTTATAAATTACTCAAATCAAATATTAAAATACTTAAATTTTATTTATTCAATAAATTAAATTATTTAAATTTGATTTAATAATAATTAAATTTATTTTATTTTATTTTAATAAATTAAAATAATTTATTAATATTAATATATCATTTATATCTTGATTGTTGTATTTGATTGAATCTTACAACTCAGTCGAAGATTAGATTAGAACGGAGATGCATATCCATTGTTGTGGTATAATTTTTTTGACATGTCAAATCTGGCAACTCCTTATCCACTTAGGCTTAAATGTAGCAGCCCTCACAAAGGAAGAACCTTTGACTTTGTATTTATGGTTCAACATGTTTCATTTTCAGTTATTATTTGACAATTGTTGGCCATATCCTTCCAATAATTTTTAGTAAAATGAGAACTAAAATTAATACCATCGAAATATACAGTTAAGACTTCGAAACTAATTTCATGTGTCACACATCCATAAGTTTTTCTTTTATATCATTCCAAAAGAAAATTTTGGGCCTGGCAGCCTGAAAATGGGCTGATCAGTGGGCTTCTTCCATGGGCCAAAACAACACTGCTTCCATTTGGGTCATGTAATTTGCGGGTATTGGACTTGAGCCTGGCACTTAAATCAGCTGAGGAATACACCGCTTCCGGCTTGCGGCTTCGACTTTTACAAGGAATTGAATCAGATTTAATTTAATTTTTTTTAAATAATATATAAAATTATAAATATTTAATATTTAAATTTAATCTAAATCAAATAAAAAAAATTAATTCAAATCAAAACCAATATTACAATTTTAAATTAATTTTTTATTCTTTATTTTTTATGTTTTTTTCACCGGACAATAGGTTGTTTTAAAAACACCGTTGTCCTTAAAAAGGCTACAATTAAAGAAAAAAACAAAATTAGTATTTTAAAAGAGAATTCTTGACGGCAAAGCAATAAGACACGCGCCGCCTCAAGCAGCAACGTTCTTCTGCTGATTCTCGAGGTTCATTCTCTTGCTTTTCCTTCAATTTTCTTAGTGCCCCTTTGGTTCCTGAGAAAATTTTGGATTTTCAAGTTGGAATCAAGAACCAAGCTGAGAGCTTTATCGGTTCTTCAAATCCCAAAACCCTAACTGCTTTGGTACATTCTTTCTCTCTCTCTGTAACGATCTCAATTTTCTATTTTTCATTGATTTCTATTAATCTATAGCGCTTCCAATATCTGTAAATTTATTGAATTTCATTCTATTTGAACAATAATTCCTTCGAATTTAAATTAATTTATTTTTTTTCCTTTACTGATATTTTCCCAAAGTTTATATCTTGATAGGTGTTTGATTTTTTGCTTCAATGAAGAATGCTAGATACTATAGTGTTATTTTAGTTAAAAAAATTAAATTTCTTTTATTTTTCTTAATTATAGGAAAAAAAAAACTTATAGTAGTAACAATTGCACTGAATTTGCGCAGGGAAGCCAATGGCAACTTCTAGTTCACTGAAGGAATATCTAAAACGGTACGAGACAAAAAACGAAGAAGAGGAACAGAAGAAGGAAAGGAAGAAGAAGAAGAAGATAACCAAGCCAGAGTCCTCAGGCGTTTTAGTTGTCGATGAGGACCCAGTCTGGCAAAAACCTGTTAAACTCGAAGAAGACGAGGATGGCAATGATTCACCTGGTTAGTTTACAAGTTTTTTCCTTTCGTTTTTCTCCTTTTATTTGTTTAGTTATGTTTTGGGTTTGATGAATTATAATGGTTGGTTATTGTTTATGGCGTTTTATTGTTTTTTCTAGATGAGAAGCCGCTAGTGGATGAAGATATAGAAGTAAAAAGAATGAAAAGGCTGGAACAAATTAGGTTGAGGAGGGGATACAATGCTATTGCAGAGGATGGTAGTGGCTGGGTTTCGCTTTCTCCTAAACGTGCGAATGTTATGGATCCTAATTCTGATATTTCCCCTCCTCGTAGGCTGAGGACTCAAAATGACACGCCTTCTCCAGAACCTGGGCTGAGGCATTCAAACTCTGGAAGAGAAGTTGAAGATTTGTCACCTCCAAGAAAACCACGTTCCCCTGGATTTAGATCTGATTTATCGCTACCAAGAAGAAGTAGGGCTCAGAATGGCATGGCATCAAGAGAAGATGCTGATTTATCACCTCCTCGAGGGAGGGTATCTTGGACTGACTCACCAGAACCTCAAGTTAAGGCTACTGATTTATCTCCTCCACGGAAATGGAGGGTTCGGAATGATTCACCTTCACCAGAACCTATAGTGAACAGAGCACATACTGATTTGTCACCACTTCGGAAACGGAGGGTTAGAAATGACACCCCTTCACCAGAACGCAGGGTGAAGCCTTTGAGAAAGGATACCGATCTGTCATTTTCACGGAAAAGGTCGAGACACCACCATACACAATCACCTGAGCCTGATATGCCCCCGCCTAGAAGATCTCGTACTCAAACATCAGAAATTGTTCATGATTTGGATCTCTCTCCTCCAAGGAAAAATAGGAAGGAATCAGCTGGTTCTGCTTCTTTGAAGGAGCAACCAAAAACTGGTTTAATTTCTGGAAGTGAAATCCGGGAAGAAATTTCTAAAACCAAGAAGGATGATTGGTTAAGGTACCTCTTCTATTCAAGTATCTAGATATAATTCATTTTTCAGAAATTCTCTCTCTTGGCATTCTGCATTTTCCATCCTTGAAATGTTAATATAAATGGGGTAAGTTATAGGTGCTCATCAATACATGATCAGACTTGAGTTCAGTTGCATACTTTAATCAATTTTGTTTTTAGACAAGCCGCAGAAGATGCTGCTTCTTTTTGTTGGCAGTAATTATTCTATGTGGCATTAAGAATATTGACTGACATCATTGAATTTGAGGTAAACTTTGCTCCTGTAGTAACCTGTTGTAGGGGACTTATGGGTTCTTCCATGATGAATGGGTGAAATGCCTTTGTTGATGAATTGTGGGCTAGGTGTAATATAGAATTGCATGCAAACTAAGGAGCAAAATTAGTGCCTTTGGTATTTTACTTTAACATGATATAGGCAATACTTTTGGGTAGCATGCGTGCATATATCAGTACATAAACACACAAACATTCAGAATTGACTTATGTAACTTTCAATTTGACTCTAGATTGTCTAATTGTGTAGTTGGAGTTGCCAATCGTGTGCGTAGGGGGGTGGGGTAGTTGTTTATGAGCTCAGGAAAGTCCTCATGACTTGTATTCCATTAGTGAATCCTTTTAATTGGTTTGGTTACTACACTGCATTTAATTTCTTTGGTTTTTCTCCCACTTAATTTTTGTGTTTTCTCAGGTTTAAGGAGATGGATCCAACTATAAGTGGACGAGGTGCTGAACCTGTATATCGTGATAAGACAAAAGGTAAAGGACAAGTTATTTTAAGTGATATCTAGTTGAAAACGCATGTATACTTTCACCTGACTCACACTTCCCTCATGAATTGCTGCAGGGGAACGCATATCAAAGGAAGAGTACCTGAAGTCAAAACAAAAAGGGGAAGATAAGCCCAAGGTACAAGATGGAAAAGTTAGCTGTAGAGTTCATGATTGGCTTTCTTTTTCATCATGATTGTTGTAGCCAATTCTAATGCTGCATTTCTAGTAGACGTGAACTTTATTATTTACTTTGTTCTTAGAGAGCAAGAATTAATAGTTAGCTATTATGTTCTTTATTAGGAGAAAGAGTTGGAATGGGGCAAAGGCTTAGCCCAAAAGCGAGAAGCTGAAGCTAGGTTGCAAGAATTAGAACTTGAGAAGAATAAACCATTTGCTCGAACCAGGTAAGATAACGGATTCTAAACATTGTTTTGAGTTGTAGTTCTTTTAGCTTGAATTGGATGTGATGTTAGGAAATGAGTGGTAGATTAGCACATTGCATATTTCTCCATTTATCCTTCATTGTTATAAACTTTTAATCATTTGCCATATTATGTCTCCTATGATTGAGGGGAGTAATTCGGTACCATAAGCATGCATGCACCCCAAGGGAGTCCTGCTAGTGGCCTTACATGGGATACTTACAGGGTTCAGATAACTCTTTTGCATGACAAATATGTTTATGGAGAAATGCATTTGATATCCACAATAATAAAATTATTTCTTTGCCACTATTTTTGTTATCATTTCCTATGTTATTACTTAAGTAAATTGCTGTACAGTAGGGAAAGGTCATGGAGTTATTTCTTCATTCTATTTCCACTTCCACAAGGTGCAATTATTATTATAATGGAATATATCAGCTGAAAGAAGCCTGAAAACACAGAGAACTAATTTTTTTGTTTCAGCCCTGAAATATGAATTAAGTTGGGAAAAAAGAGGGGAGAGATTGAAAAAAATACCCACTTTCGCTAGTATAACATTACAAGTTATTGATTTCTTTGTTGAACTTCCTTTGTTGAGCATTTATATGGCCTTATCTTCTGCTTGATTTAGATTATATTTTCTCGTTAATTTTGCCGCATATTGCATTTTTATATTTACAAAATTCTACTTGCAGGGATGACTCAGAGCTCGACAATATGTTGAAGGATAGACTAAGATGGGGTGATCCTATGGCACATTTGGTCAAGGTAATTAACTACTTGTTTGATGGTAATGAGATTTCGGTTAGTTTGACACTAAATTAACATATATTTTTTTTATGATATATTGCAGAAAAAGCATTCTAAGCCAGTTCTTAGAGACCTAGGGGATGCTGAGCAGATGAAGGAATCAGGGTTCATAATTCCTCAAGACATTCCTGCACATAGTTGGATAGTAAGAAAATTAGATGCTGCACCAAATCGATATGGTATAAGACCGGGAAGACATTGGGATGGAGTTGATCGTAGTAATGGTAAAATTCATTTCTATGATTTCAAAAATTCTTCGGTTCATTCTCATTTCAAATTAAGTTTTGCTATGTCAAAAATGATGGAAAATGCTAATCAGCAGCTTCTCTGCATCTTTTAGGTTTTGAGAAGAAAATGTTCACAAAATTAAACGAGAAACGGGCCACAGAAAGGGAAGCATATCTCTGGTCCGTATCCGACATGTGATTCAAGGCATCGACCGCAATCTTTTGAGCACCCATTCATTCACTGGTTGACGCTGTCTCAAATAGTACATTTCTATGCAACCTTTTAATCTTAATATCTAATTTTTCAATCACGATATTGTACAAGTCATACAGAGTGGAACCCAGAATATTTTTATTAATGTAGCTGCCTGAATTTCTCAAATGAACAAATTTACATTGAGTTAAAGACTTGAGTGCATTTAGCAGAAAGCGAGTGAAAAGCAAGACTTTGAAGCTCTTCCAACTCTGTTAATGGCACTGGGATTGTAATCTTAGAAGAGCAGGAAAGTTACATGCTGAAATTGAGAGATTATATGCTTAGTGTATATTTCTGCCATTGTATCCGATGTTTTTCCTCCATGGTTGATTCTCGACAGTATTATTTTTAATTTCAAAATAATTTTCATATGCATTTGAATGTCAATTTTATAGGTTTCGTACTTCTGTAAGCCATGATTTTAGCTTCCAAATTCCGTGGTTGCTTTCACAAAGTGTCGCTATCCATTCCTTTTTTCACCAGTTGACTGATTAATCAGATCAATGCCAAGTAAGTTGTTTTTAGGGGTAATGTCAAGCATAATGTAATCTTATAGAGGGAAGCACGTCTGAATTAACTTGGCCCTACATTCTGAAGTCTTCTCAGACCGATCAAACAACCAATGTCTTCCAATCTTGAAACATAGATGGATCCTTTCTTTGATCATTTCTGCGAAGGAAAAACAATAAGAAAAGAAAATTTTGATACACATCTGTTGCAATTTTTATTCCCAAACTGTGAACCATATAACACCAATCAAGCTTATATGTACGCATAAAAAATGATACCCCCATGAGTACGCATAAAAAACAGCATCCGTCCTTACCTTCTGTCTCTGCTCAACTCCAAAAACAAATTAACTAATCCAACAACATCGATCTTCCCAAAAAACAGAGAAACACATGGCTACCATCTCTTTGATCATTCACCTTGTTGTTACAAATGGCTGCCTCCACAAATGCAAGCTATGATGGTCATTGACATTATGATGATGATTATGAGGATAATCATGATGATGATGGCTCATAACCAGTTCATGACATCTCCGACCTTCTCCACTCACTTGTACAACTTTCTTCTCTCCTTCTTCTTCTACTTCTTGCAAATGGAATTCTAATTGTTCTTGTTCTTCTCGCTTTGTCTCTTCGTTTTCATCTTCATCTTCTTCTCCTTCATTGATTTTGGGGCAAGCGTCACTGCTAACAAGATGCAATCTCAAGCGACCATTTTGCCTGACAGCACGTAAAATCTCAGGTCTTTGTATTCTAACCTCAGTTATCTCCAACTTCCCATTTTTCCTTACAGGCTTTAGATAAAAACAAGGCTGACCATTCTGGTTCAATGAAGAAAGTGGTGGTGGAAACTTCTTCTTATTCCTTTCTGATCTCTTCTCTTCACTGATCTTTTTCCTTCTCCATCTATCCCTTTCCCCTTCACAAAACTCCATATGTTGATGATCACCATCATTCTCATCGTCATCACCACCATCATCAACCCTTCTTTCATCACAACTCTCAAACCCCAAACTTTCCGTACATGACATAAGTCCATCAACCCCACTACCCATATCATCTATAAATCCTATCCCACCAGGGTCTTTCTTTTTGGACGGCAGTGATGTTGTTGGTGTCATAGGTTTAATGTTGAGTAGCAGTGATGAGGACTCAATAACATTTGGATTAACACTAGCTGTTGTTTCATTGGTGATCAACCCTAACCCACATTTGGAAAAAGGAGGAGAGAGAACACGTTTTTTACAAAAGTACTTCAACATGAATTGAGAACAACAGTAAGGCAAGATTATTTTCAATGCAAAAAGGAAGAGAGAGGCATAGATGAAGAAGGAAACAGGAGACAGAAAAAGGGTCATAAGGGAAAAACAAAAAATTTTAAAGGAAATTAAAAAAAGTTTCGGGGTTTGGTTATTGATTATGAAGAAGAAAAGTGAAGAAGAGAAGGAGATGTGGGTATTAATAACATCCTCACGCCAAAGATAGGGAAAGAGAAAAGAAAACAAAGGGAGAAAATGGAGTGGAAAGGGGGTGTAGTATGGTGAAGAGAGTGCCAACGTGAACTGTGAGCTGTCAAGATAGAGCTGCCTTACCCTTCACTAACATCTCACCATGTTTTCCTATTGATGTATCTATTTTTAGTATCTTTTCTGATCGTCAGCTGTAACAGGTTTATTATTTTGGAGATATATATATATATATATATATATAAATAATATACAAACTCTTCCATTTTGTCTTTGGGTTTACAGTAGTCCTTTTCATGCACGTTGGGAAAAAGGCTTCAAATTTGCTTTACAATATTTACTATTCTTGACAGATCTCATCAGCCCATTTCAAAAAGAAAAATCTACCATGTAGTATATTCTTTTCCAATTAAAGTGCCACAAATAATATACAAAAAAGAATTAATTAATTAATTAATTTTATTATAATTATTTTTGCTCTAGTAATATATATCTGTTTTGACCTTTGGGGAATAATGTAAGATATAAGAAAAATAAACTATATCGTTTTTAGGTATTGGTCCATTGATGATGCCAAGAGCAAAATATCTTATTACAGAAAAGGAGTGAGTGATGTTTGTATTTCCTCCAGTGCTCTCCCCTTTGTCTCTGGAACCAGCATGGCGACGAATACAACAGTTAAGCCCCCAACTCCAGAGAAAAAGAAAAATGTTCCTGCAATTATGTTAATTGTCAATGTATCTTAGTTCAGAAGTGTAATAGTCAGGGTGGTTTGGTTACAGTACTGTTGGAGAAGGGAAATGGAGGAAACCTGCTGAGCTCCATTCCATCATAAAATTGAATGTGTAAGTAGTAATCCAAGAAGTGGACCAATTGACTAAAGTCACCAGGCTTCCAGCTTGGGCTTTAACATTTATGGGAAATATCTGACAAAGAATATGGACATGTTTTAGTCAAATCGATCTCTTGTTTCCAGCTATTGGGGCAACCTTGATATGTTAAATTCATCTGCATGTACCTCAGACATTATAATCCACGGTATTCCTCCCAAGCCTATTGTGAAAGCTGTAGCACAGGCCTGAGTTTGCAGTATGAATCAGTTTATACATAGTTTGGCTCAAAGTTTGAAGAATATATTTAGTTGTGTGTATGCATGCAGGTTCTACTTCTCAACTCATTCTTCAGACATGATAATTCTTATATTTATTTTATTGGGTTGACACATCAAATACAAAACATGTTTGTTAAAATTTTAAATCGTGTCGGGTTTTTTTTTTTCATATGATCATATCATTTTTATATTGTATTTAAAATTGACAGGTCTATCATTATTCTAAGGTAGGATTTCAATTTTAAGAAAAAAAATGCATTTGTTGTGTGCTTGAGTAGCCTGATCCTAGCCCTGATTATGGCCATTGGCAAAATAAGAGGAAAGTTCATCATTAAGTTAAAAGCAGCCTGTAAGAGAAACAGAAGTACCAAAGAGCCGGTGAGTGCTAGGATGGGAGTAAGAGCCTTCAGATGGGGGAATTCCTGATGACATCAAAGTTTTCACAAAGAGAATTGCAAAACATGAAAAATAATAATAATAATACAGTCAATCATTTGAAGAAAATATTGAACTTTGCTATACCTTAAAGCAGAATGAGAGTGCTACAAGGAAGGTGGAGAAGCACATGCCACTTGCAGAGACCTGCACAAATTGGAATACTACTATTTTGGCTTGTTTCTTCAACAATTTCACTATCTTAAAATGAATCCTTTGCAAAACTAACCAGTAGAAGTGGTCTTCTACCAGATCTATCCATTAAAAGCAAACCTACTACAGCTACTGGAATCTGCAGAAAAATATTTTTGACATGTCACAGAAATGCTGAAGTAGAATTTGACAATTCAAGAAAGTTGGAAGAAGAAGAAGGTGCCTGTATAATAGATGAGACTTGCAGGCCAATGGTACTTGATACACCTGTTGCAAACAAGAATCTGTGTTGTCACTTTTTCTATTTCCATGTTACGGATTTATTGCATACAACAAGATAATCATATAGAACCCAACGCAGAAGACCTAAATTTACCAGCTTCTTCAAATATGTTGCTAGCATAATATGCCATAGCACTGTTTCCTCCGAGTTGTTGCAATAGCATTAGGCCAACTCCAACCTGCAAATTCCAAGAAACCATATGTACAATGATCAGACAAGTCATAAAAGGCGATTACGGTTTATTGACCTATTGTTATTCTGAGCTCACAATGAGTGAATTAGCATATCTCCTCTGGAACAATTCCAGGAAACTAGCTTCTGTCTGTTGCTCAAGAGTTTCCATATAATCCTACAGAAGAAAGGAAGCTAAGTAGTTAAAATGTTCCTGGGAAAAATGAAAACGAAAAAAGTAACAAGATACGAAGCTAAAAGGCAACTCTGATATAAGCTGCTTCTTCAGAAATATCTGTGTCCTCTCCCCTAAGACGCTTCAAAGCAGCTTCGAACTCTTTTTCTCGACCAAATTTTGCCTAGAGAAGCGTTCATCTTTTAGGCATATACATGAAGAATGAAGTGCATAATTTCTTTTAGATCTGGCTCCAAAATATTATTGACTCAAATGGCATCATAGCATTGGCCAGACTAGTGAGTTAGACTCACCAGCCATCTAGGGGACTCCGGAATGAAAAACAAGCCTATTATCTGCACTACAGAGGGAATAGCACCTGAAGAAAACAGAGTTGGTTAAAAACAGAACTTCAATAGCACTACCTTTGGCCTAAGTAAATAGAAAAAAATAGAAGAGCAGAAGGATATAAACTGATCATGGCCAGGACACGCCAAGAAATCAAGGTTCCAATGAAATATACAAGTGCAAATCCAGAAGTAGTCATCAACTGCAGGATTGGGAAAACACATATCCATAATTATCGATATCTTGATTCTTGACAGATCATATTGTCAATTATGGTTCAGTATTACCTGATTTGCCGATACAAACGAACCCCGGTAACTTTTAGGTGTTATTTCTGCTATGTAAACAGGTACCTGTTTGTTGTGAAAAGTTTAGTTGTCATAATACATCTCATTGTGTATGAACTGCAAACCTCAGTACAATTACCACATAACAAATCATCGCAGCTCCAAAGCCAATTGACAGCCTTCCAATGTCCAGCCATAAAGCACTCTTCCAACAAGAATTGAACATTTACTTTTTAAGATCTTCATACAAATTAGCAAACATAGAAGTACAGTACAGAAACGAGAAATTTCATTAGCAAGACTGGTGCTTCAGTACGGTTGTAGGATGAGATATTAACAAGAAACAGGATTTGGAACATAAGTTATTTGATTCAACAATCAAATGAAGCCTAACTTTGCCATCAGCCTTGGAGTTTGTTGATAGAGTACTAGAATCTTAGTTCTAATGAGCAGGGTATAATCTCGAGTACTAAAAAAATAAAGCCCAACTTCGGGGAAGGGGAGAATTCAAAATGGAAGCTAACCTTTGCAAATGTTATTGAAAGCCACCCAGCAGTGCAGAATACTTCAGACAACCACATTGTCTGTCTTACAGTACATAAACACATTACTTGAGAGGAACTTCAAACCTCATATTACATCATTAAAACATGTAATAACTTACGTGTCTCCGACCAATAAGATCTGCTATCTTCCCACTGAAAATTGCACCTACCATTCCTCCAACTGTCATTATTGAACCGAAAACCGAGTACTGCACATTGTGAGAGTAACCAGTTAAGACTACAAACACTGACCTTGAGATTTCTTGTGCTTTAAGTAAGTGGACGTTTATCTGATACATGAGTTTTCACTTTAAAGAAAGAAAAAAAAAACAAAAGGACTGTACTAACTGCTGCCACAGAGAGACCCAAGTCTTCTATTATCCCAGTCTCTGCAGGTGATGAATAACCAACCTGGATTGATCAAGCAAGTTGGATCATTTTTATCAATTCAATCAAAGTTAATTATCAAATATAATCTATGTTACTAATTAAGGATAAGTACAGCCTTCCCACATGGGGAAGGTTTGGGGGCGTGTGTTTATATGAAAATTTGCATTAACTCAAAACAATTGATTTTGAAATTAATGACGTGTCTGTCTCTGAATAAATATAATCATGTCTGTGCGTGTGTGTGGCCCAACCGAAGCACTCTTACGGGCTCATCAAAGATGGCATGTTAAGGCTTCCCGGGTAAATGGATTTGGACCTCCAACTCGTGTGAGGCAAGCCTTCCCATATCGGGAAGATTTGGGATATATGTATTTGTATAAGATTTCACGTTAACCCAAAATAATTTATTAGTAGAATTAACAGCATATTCTATCTTTGAAAAAAAAAATAAGAATAAGTACAATAAATTCAACTAAAACCATAAGTATTCACAATCCAATTAACCATAACCAAACATATTATAAAAAAAAATCCTAATGCAATATATGTAATGTCTATAGTTTGTAATTAATCTCTAAACCCAACTTGTTAATATTAATGATGTATTGTTCAGAATAAACATTTTAAACTTTAAAAAAAGTTTTAACATTTTTACAAGTATAAATGTTTAACGCATGGTTTTTCAATGTCAAAAAAAAAAAAAAAGATGAATTGCAGAAAAAGATAGTAAAAATTTTAGGTGATACAAAATCTTATTTTATTTCAAATTATTTGAGTGATTAGTTTTAACGGAGCTTAAGAAAAAATTTTGATTTTAATATATTTAGTATTAAAATTTTTATAAAAAATTTATAAAATTAAAATTATATAATTTTTAATATCAAAATATAAAAAAAGAGTTATAGATATTAAAAAATTAAAAAAAAAACATAATTTTAAAATATCTTTTAAAAAAAAGTAATAAAAAAGTATATTTCAAAAGCGGAGGACAGCGCAACCGCTAAAACAGTGGCCGTTTCATTGCTTTTAAATCCAAAAAACTCTAAATTCAAATTAACTTCCTCTCCTTCAAAGCCCAAAAACATCACAGAGAAGAAGAAGTCAGTTCCTAGCTTAGAGAAGAAAACGAAAAACTTACAGCACAGCCATAACAGAAAGAGCCACAGACAGCAACAAACGTACTAAAGACAAGAACAGGTGTCAACGACGAAGCTGTCGGTGATGGCATGTTAAGATTGCCAATGCTGTCACTACTGCCGGCGACATCGCTAGTTGGTTTTGTTTCGTTTGGTTGATACCTGCTTGTTAACAGCCCTTCTTCCATGCTTTCCCTCTCCATTTTCATACGTTTGTTTCAAAAAACAAACTACCAAACTGAAGAAGAAAGAATTCCTCCTTTTGTTTCAATGGGAAAAAAAATATAAATATAAATATAAATAGGAGCTATAGGTTACTATTTCATGGAAAGATTCAAAAGAATTTTTTGAGGCAAAGAATAGTCATTAAGCAACATTGATCACATTTAAAAGTTAGTAAAATCTTGTGGAAAGATATGATTATTACATAAGAGATTCTTTATGGAAATTAAAAATTATATTTTAATTTATACTATTATTTTATGTAGCATTGACCATATATAGTATTCTAGATGATGCAAGTAGAATAGGTTTTTTTTTTCAAAAAGTATTTAATAGGAAATTTGAAATTAACTAGCCTAGCTACCTATATAGATTTAATCCATCACAAACATAAAAAAAAAAAAAAAAAATTGGTTTTATATTTTTAAGTTTTAACTCTTAAAAAAGGAATAAGGTGATTTTGAAAAGCATATAAAATTAGAGATAAATAAATACAAAATTTTAATTAAATTGAATATAAAAAAATAACATAGTTTAAGATTTAAATTTTATAAAAAAAATTTTTAATTCCTTAATAAAAAACTAAAAAATAAACCATCAATTATTGCAAATTCAACAACAATTTAAATTTATTTCTAGACCAAATTTCTAAGTTTTGTCTCTTTATAAAGCTAACTATAACAGAGAAAAATGCTACTATAATTGGACTTTTTTTTCCTTCTTTATTTACTTTTGTTTGTTGCTTGAGGAAACAGTTTTGACTTTAAATGTAGGGTTGAGTACATTTTTGGACAAACGATTCCTAAAATCCTATTTATATTTGATAAGATTGTCCAACCACCCTAATATTTGGTAGTTAATGAGTTATATATTACAATAAATTTTAATTTAAAAAGAAAATCAAATTTTGTTGATTGAGTTAATAATTTTTTTCATTTTTCTTAACACAGAGTAAGATCATTTTCTTGCTCTTGTACATTAAAAATGTTGAATTCTTATTTTCGTCATCTGATTCAAATTTTAATAATTTTAAGTATTAAAAAATTTGATTGAATTGAGAATCCTGAAGACTTAATATAGATTTTCAACAAATCTGCTATATATTTTCAAAAAGTAATTTGTTCTATTATGAAAATGTTCTTGCCTATCAGTCACTGTAGTTCAACATAAAGCTCAAGACCAAGCTGCTCCCTGATTTGTCAATTGAGCTATTCAAGTCATGGAGGTGGTTAACTGGTTGATTTTTTTTTTTTAGCTCATAATTCACTTGTAAGACTTTGGCACTTGGTTTGCATTTCTTCAAATGTTTGGAAATTAATTTTTGACAAGTGAGATTTCAACTGTATATCCCTCTTCCCAGAGCAGGAAAGTTGGAAAAATGTTTGGAACCTGTGAGTGGTTGACTTTAATCTTTTGTTTCCAACCTGATGATTCAATGGAACCTGACAATTTTGTCCATGCCTTTTTCATGATTCATAGTGGCTTGCGAGTTATTGTCAATTTCAGTTCATTCGACTTCACCATTTGATCCCATAAAAAAATATTTCATAAATTAAAAGATGATATAAATACTTATATCTTAAAACCAGTTTTAATACAAAACATCATCCTCACTCTAATAAAGGACTACCATGACAAATTGCTAATACTTCATAACCGACTCTGATATCAAATATCATGATTCAAATCAACTTAAGATATTATCCACTTTCAACTCATTAAACTTCACAATTTTATCCCACGAAAATATCTTACAATTTAAAAATAATCTAAACACTTATATTTCAAAGCCGATTCTTATACACAGCCGACTTTCATGCTGCTTTCTAGGACCGTGAAACCTTTCCTGCTGTCCATCAAGCTTTTAACATTTGTTTGCCAAGCCTGAAACAAGGCAGACTGACTTGCAAGCCTACACCACTAACTCTGCTTGGATCAAGGCCACCTTTTAGATATTCATGAAAAAAAAAAAAAAAGTCAAGAACTGCTTCCCCTAAGCCTAAATAAGTCTGGATCAATGCAAATGAATCACCCACATGATTATATTAGTCAGTTATTCCTGTATTTGTTATTGTACACCGCGAGTAATTGATGCTTGGATTTCTTCTAGTGTTCGCCCCTTGGTCTCCGGCACCAGCTTTGCAATGAATATGATAGCTAGCCCAGAAATGCTTGAAAATATGAAGAATGTTCCTGGAATAGTGTAATGATAAATGGTTTAGTATCACAACCATGGTGGAAATGACAGAAAAGAAGAATCCGGGAAATGAGAGGCATTAAGCTTCACCAGCAGAGCTCCATTGAAGTAAAAAGTTGAAAGTATAAGAAACAACCCAAGAACAAAACCAGTTCACCAGGTTGCAAAGACTTCCAGCTGAGCCCTTTATATTTACAGGAAATATCTGGGAAAGAAAAAAAAAACAAAAAAAACGAAAAACCCTTTAGTTGCCTTTAGCTATGCACTAAATGATGAAGAAATGAAAACCAAATCTCTTGACTAACCTCTGACATTATAATCCATGGGATTCCTGACATCCCTAATGAATAAAATCCCATGTATATCTGAATGCAGAAATAAAAAACATGGTTGATATCTGACGGAAGAACAAACATGTTTGATAGTAGTCATGGTTTTCACAACATTCTTCATGCTATAGTTAAAAGTATCTGCTGTGCCTTTGTTTTGTTTCCCAATTGTTAAATAAGAAGAAAAATGAAAAGAATGTTCAATACAGATGTAATCAACAGGAAAACATTTTTAAGGAAAAGAACACTGAAGTGTTGGCATGTAATATGTGTTACCAGGATGCCAATAAATGCCAAAATTGGAGTGATCTCCTCCAAGCAATGAAGATCCTGCTCATGAAATCTTATATCTTTCAGAAAATAAAAGTTAAAGGGATAATAAGATGCAGAAAAGGCACTTTCTAGATGGTGTAATTAAAATTCTATGTTCTGTTTTTGAGGAACCTGCAAGAGGAATGACAGGCCTGTAAGGAAGCAACCAAAGAATGCACCAACAATGGAAACCTGTAAGCATGTTTGGATTTCAGAATTAGTTTCTCAATTTAGTTGAAACCAAGAGCAATTGGTTGTTTTATACTCTAACCATTAGAAGAGGCCGTCTCCCAGATGTATCGATTAAAAGTATACCGAGAATGTTCATCACAATCTGTACAAGGATATGAATGTTATCAGGATACACAACAGGATGAATTTTGAATCAATATTGCAACTGACATTAGGTAAACACCTGTGTTACAGCCACTGCTATAATTCCTGTAGTGCTTGGAAACCCTGTTGAACAAAATTGTGAGTTCCTTCATAACCATGCAGTTTTCAAGTTATTTGGAGCATTATTTTTACTATCACATAATTTACCAGCTAAATAAAAAATGCTGTTTGCATAATAAGCAAATCCTTTGTAACCCCCCAGTTGTTGTAGCAGCATCAAGCCAACTCCAACCTATGCCAAAATCTTATTATACCAATGGATCAAGCATGACATTTACAGTCAATAGAGAAACCATGGATCAATTAATGTGACTCACAATGACCGAATAAGCATATTTCGAACTGAACAGATCCAGAATCTTATAGCCAGAGCTGCGTTGCAAGTTTTTGGTATAATCCTGCAATATTTTTGAACATATCAAAATTGCACCTATATTGAAGGCTAAAAATTATGGCTTCCAGATATAGTATAAGGGGTGATTACTATTCAAAGGATATTATGTTTCAAAATTTACATGGATTTCATCTGCTTCTTGACAAATATCAGCATTCATTCCTCTGAGGCATTTAAGAGAAGTTTCGAACTCATTGTCTCGACCGTTTTTGGCCTGCAAAATGTACATCCATAGTTGATTAGTTAGGCATATTATGCTGTCATGTCTTTCTTTCCTTGACATCAAAAAGTAAGGCAAACACAATTTTGATATAACTCATGGAACTGCAGATTCCACTTACAAGCCATCTAGGAGATTCTGGAACAAAGAATAAACATATGACCTGTATTATACAAGGAATGACACCTGCAAAAATGCAATTGTCCAAGAATATTAACGCGATTCTTGTTTGTTATAGAAGTTCATGCAGCATGGAAAGAGCGGACTGAAAGATGCTACCGATTAGAGCCAAGATGCGCCAATAGGTGATAGAACCAACAAAATATGCGACTGAAATGCTACAAATTGTCATTGCCTGTAGATTAAGTTAAACGAAAACTAAATCATAGATCGTTTTACTCCAGATTTTACAAAATTCAAATGCCTATAATGCTCAAATTTACCTGAACTAGTGATGAAAATCCTCCCCTAAGATTCTTTGGAGTTATGTCTGCTACATAAACAGGTCCCTACTAGGAAATAAATCAGACATCATCATCAACCACATTAGTCAATTGCATCAAGTAGTAGATGAAGCCTTACAGCAGTTACCACATAATTAAATACTGCAGTCCCAAATCCCAGTGAAAGCCTTCCAAGATACAGTGACCAAGCTTCCTGTCAAAAATCATTGCAACATACGGGATTATGATGTGAGAGCAAGACAATGAGAATAACTGAATGTTATAACTAATAAAAAGAAAGCCTTGCAGAAAATGGAGTATAAAGTAAGGTGAGGGTACAAGACCTTGGAAAACGCTATAGCTAGCCATCCCATGATGTAGAATATATTCAATATCCAGAAGGTCTGCCTCATGAGAGCAACCAAAAGCATTAACTGAGGACTTGATAAAGATTTAATGATGTGAAATAGATGCTTGTTATTATTATTATTATTATTTTTACTATTTTTACTCAGAAAACTCACAATTTTATGACCAAAGAAATCTGATATTCTTCCACTAGCTATTGCACCTGACATTCCTCCTATTGTCAATATTGAACCGAAAACTGAATACTGCACAAGTGATATGAAAAAAAGAGGCAAAGTGAGGTCAAGTGAAATGCTGCAAGAAACTTAGAAAAACTGGCTTTAAGCACTTCCCAAAACGTTCTTCTTTGACAATGTGAAGGCATTTTTGAAACACCACCAATAATCCCCATGAAAATGTGGTGAATTTTGAGGCAAGGGGAGTATCCAAACTATATATTAAGGCTAACAGTTGTTTATGTCTTGAACTTTGTGATGAAACCTCTGCAGGTTGAAACCCAAGTAATTAAATGTCTTAATTGTTTTTTAGCCTGGCACCTACCTCTGCCACTGAGAGACCCAACTCATCTATGATTCCAGACTCTGCAGGTGATGAATATCCACCCTGGCAAGCAATCATGTAAAAGAAGTATGGTCATGATCATTAATGCATCAAAGAGTGAGAGAAAAGAGTCATGAATGTTGACTCTAAGATCCAACTATTCAACCAAACTAAAGCTGATTTCGCAAACATTACTTGGAAATTTTATCCTTAGGGCCAAATGATTATTGTGGTTAAAAAAAAAAAAAAAGAAGATATAACCACATAAGCAAATGGTTCCAAAATGCAGCAACTAGAACATCACAGAAGACAAAATGTAAATCTCAGACTCTAGTTCTAATCCCAATACTAAATTTCCAATCCTAAAGCTGATAATATGCTAAGCACAAATTTATTCTTGTTTGCCCTGGAAAGATCTGAAAGCAATTTTTCATTCAGTTTTGCAGTGCCTGCATAAATTACAAATTCTAAAGTTCAAATACATCGCATGAAAGTGATCAAACTGCTATAGTCCAGACAAGGAATTAAAAAGTAGGAAAAGACCACCGCATCTGGTTTGGACCAGAGCTGTGGTCCTGGCAAAAGTAAAACCTAAGATACATGAACAGAAGATCAAGATGAAGATTCCTCATGATTCAACTTACAAGCACAAAGTATAGGCAGAAGGAAAGGGAGGGAGATGGATCATATTTGGATCACTCCTTCGACTACTTACAGAATAACCACAAGTAAAGGAAGCACTGGCTGCAACAGTGATGCCAAGAACAAGAGATGATGTTATGGCACTGGACTTTCTTGATGGTACACCATTACCATTGTAGCGATTGACAATCAATGGTTCAGTTGCTGGTCCCCGCTCTGTGCCTTCTTCCACCATTTCTTGTCTCCTTGAAGAAGCAGATTGGAGAAATACTGAAAAAGCTGAGAGAGAAATACAGACAGAAGGAGACAATTATTGATGAATGCTTCTTTCCTTTAAAAAATGCTTTGTCTTGTCGTGCAGATGGTTGTCTAGACCGTTCATAGAATAGTCCTGTCTGCATGTTCCACGTATCGAGTTCTCTTGTCTACTTTTTTCTTAAATAATTGCATTTGGCCTGCTCCAAGGTGATTGACAAGGACCGTAACCAAGTATAAATCAAGTTGATTAATGAATAGATCTATATTACACTAGCCAGCAGACATAATGAAAGTCGATAAAATGATGACTAACTATTAGCAATCTGGAGAACCCATAGCCGCCTTTTTGTAAATGGAGAATTGGGGAGCAGTGGAAAATGAGTTTCCATTGGTTCTGGATACACTAGGAAGCTGTAGTTCATACTCAGTGACATCCCTGGAATGATGAGCACATGGTTCTTAGAACTAATTTGTAATATAATCTGCATGATCCTGTTCAGGTTCTTGGTGAAAATCATTGACTTTATCATGTTGCAGTAACAAATCAACCTTTTTTTTTTTAATGATCTTTCAATTAGTCCATTGTTGCACAGTTGCACGAGTCAAGAAGATAAAATGACATATAAGATTATTACTTAACATTGCAACAAATCAATCAACATCATCCTAATCAAGACAAATTTATCAATTTTTATGTAAATAATGAATCAAAACCTTCATATTATGCGTACAGATAAATAGTCAAAACTCAAAAGAGTTTTCTTTAATAATAACCTTAACATATTTAAAATGTTCTTAGTTTGGTGATGGAAACATGTTGGCCCCGTATCTTCTTGATCATTGTCTTGAAAGTGGGCATGGAAGAAGCCACTAATGTTGGCCCCATATCAGTAAAATGAATTTTATTTTTTTAATTTTCAAAATGATTGTCTCAGACATTGTTGGTAACACCTATGTTACTACTTAAAAGCTGCGACTTTCTCTTGCCAGCTATTATTTACAAAGCTGTTCTTTTTCCTTCTAAAACTTGAATAAATAAATTTCCCTCTTTAGATATCCAAACTTAAATGTTTTCTATAAATTAGAAGATCTAGCACACTATTTTGACTAACCATTTCATTTTAGCTGCCTTAATTAAGAAATGGGGCCAGTTCGTTAGACAATTAATATAACTGAACCCTCATTGTTAATTATGATGATGACCGGATGTGGGCCACTTTTTCTTCACTTGGCTTGGTGTCTTCCACTTTAATTATGTTCTTTTATTCTTAAATTATGATTTTTTTAATATAAAAAATGTATTATTTTCTTTATAATTTATTAATACAAAAAGAAATTTCTTTCTGTTTTGGTAAGAAATTTCAATTTAAAAATTATTTATTTCTGTCACTACAAAAATAGAGATAAAATTAATTACATTGGCAGAAATTTTTTTCTTCTTTCCAGCTATGATTGGAATTCGAACATTTTCCGTATTAGAGCCCACTCCAATAGCACTGAACTAATAACTCAATGTTAATACAGCAGAGATCGCCATTTATTTCTCCATTATTGGCCAAATTTGGACCAAAAAAAAGTGTCACAACCCACCAATCACTCTGAGCATGATTAAGCAAAAATGAAAACCAGGCAGGCAAGCAAATAGTACCTTTGGACAGACAGATTTCTGTTTATAACTTCTGGAATCAAATACATTTTCTTCCACTGTACATTTGAAACTTGATGCAAGTAAAAGGAAGTATAAACAAGAGGCTAGCAGCTAAGTTTTCCAGATGCAAATTTATGATCAGCACAGATTTTAGTCAATAACTTGACACAGTTGTTCTCCCTGCTGCAGGGAACTAGCTAGTAATGGATGCCTGTATCTCTTCTAGTGCTCGTCCCTTAGTCTCCGGTACCACCTTCGCGATGAAAATGGCATTTACACCACAAATTGCTGAAAATATGAAGAATGTCCCTAGAATATAGCAAAAGTCATTTGAAGGATCAAAGCCTCAAGAATTAATGGTACACATTAATCAGAGTTGGAGAAGAACTACCTGCTGAACTCCATTGAAACAAGGCATTGAAGTTGTATGAAACAATCCAAGAACTAAAATGGCCAATCAAACTGCAAGTGGTTCCTGCTGCACCTTTGATGTTGATGGGAAATATCTTAACCAAAATCCACATTTTTGTGCAGGTAAAAGATTTTCAGTTTTAGGTTCTTGACAAAGTTTAATAAAGAGAACAGATATATATGGTAAAAACAGTTGAACCAACCTCTGCAACCACAATCCATAGAATTCCTTCCATGCCTAATTGGTATGACCCCATATACGGCTGAAAGTAGAATCAAACAATGAACTAACCCATACTGAAACACCTAGTTTTTGTCTCCCTACAGGCTTTTCAAAGACAAAATATGAATTCTAGAAATATTTTACCCAAATGCTAATGAGAGCCAAAATTGGGGTCTTTTCTTTCCACCAGTGATATTCCTGTTGGGGAACACCACAGCTCTGATATCATTTGTTGGGTTAAAAACCTCCAATCCAATCACACAAGCGAAAGCGAAATCAAACAATAAATCAAACACATAAGAGACAACAATTTAACGTGGTTCGGTCCAACTGACTTACATCCACAGATGAGAAACAAGATCCATTAGTTGTAGAGAATTACAAACATACATCATATCATCAACCTCACTCAACAATCAATACTCATAAGACACTCTCAATCTCTTCTAGTCCTATGAAATATTCTCTACCCAAACAAACACAAACCCAAACAAACACAAACCCAAACTCTTGTGCACCCTTTCAACACAACCAAACACATACCCATATGTTCCCATACATTATACCTATGTGGACCCTCTCAGTCTCCTCTAGTCCACTCACAAACAAACATACACACCCATACCTATGTGGACCCTCTCAGTCTCCTCTAGTCCACTCACAAACAAACATACACACCCATAAGATGTAGAGCCCCAATACTCCTATGGGGTGTCTATCCCATAAAACCCTACAACTCTCTTACATCTTTTTCTCATATCTAACCCTGTAAAGACTTCACCTATTTATAACCATACAAACTTGCCCATTAAGAATCCTTTTCCTCTTAGAATTCTTTTCCTGTAAGTCAAACTTGCCTATTAAAAATCTCTTTCCTTTTAGAATTCTTCTCTTGCAAGTCAAACTTACCTATTAAGAATCCTCTTTCTCTTAGAATTCTTCTTTTGCAAGTCTTCTTGTTCATCAAGCAATATCTGACAAATCTCTAACAAATCTCTTATGGGATTTGAGTCAATATTCCCAACAACTCCTGCTTGTGGTAATTGAAGTTTTATTAAATTGCTGTTTAGACAAAAAAAAAAAATTATAAGGTGATGGAATGTAGGCATTTAACTTTTGTATAAAGCAACCTGTAAAATGAAAGATATTCCAGTAAGGAAGCTACCAAAGCACAATCCACCTGCAGAAACCTGAAATATACTGTAAAGTTAGCTAACCACTTAGCCAAAAACACCTTACAAATCGAATAGTTTCTCTTTTTCTTTTTTTTTTTTTTTCTGACCAATAGAAGCGACTGTCTCCCAAACTTATCGATGAAGCTCATACTAACAATGCTCATCAATATCTGTAAACATATATTGCATATGAATCTTCTGTTTCTGAGATAAGAACGAAGCAAAATTATATTATAAAGTTATAGAGCACAGGACCTCAACAACAGCCAGTGTTCCAAGCCCAATATACTTTGATAAGCCTGACAAGAAAAGAATTTCATAATGTTAAACTCGAATACTTGTTTCAAGTAATATGAACAATATTAGGACATAACATACCTGCAGAGACAAAAATAACACCAGAATAATATGTACATGCATTGGCCCCTCCCAAGTGTTGCAGTACCATAAGCCAAATTCCAATCTATGTGCAATATACATGAGAAGTATATATCATGAATCAAGGAAGATCTATGAAGAGAAATTGGAAATTTTTTTGAACCAAGTTACAAGGTTTACAGTCATTGGAAGAACATATTTTAGCTGAAATAAGTCTAAAACTCCACCCCTTGAGAAATTATTGAGGGATTTTGTGTAATCCTGAGAAAAGAGATGTCTTATTTGTTTTCTCCATGCAATGGAAAAAGAAGATACAAATTTAAACAGTTCAAGTAAATAAAAAAGAAATACAAATATTTGGGGGGGGGGAAGGGGGGTAGACCTTTTGCTATTTTAAATCTAAAAGTAGACTGCTAACATTTTTCATAAAGTTCTGTAATGAACAAAGAAGCTGAAGTGTTACTTTGATAGCAGTTGCTTCCTGAAAAATATCAACTTTCTCTCCTCTGAGGCACTGCAGGGTAGTTTCAAACTCCTTTTCTCGGCCAACTTTTGCCTACACAGAATTTATTGGTAGTTGGCATTAGTGTAATGCAACAATATGCCTGCAATAATGAGTGAAATAGTTTCTACGTAGCTCTAACCTCTGTTTCTATCAACAAAAGTTTTGATCATTTAACACTCTCCTCCTTGATGCATGATTTCCTAAAAGATTGGAAAGTGTCATTTATCTAAAGTGATGTTCAACTAGTTTTTAGAATGTTTCTGGCTCATCTCTAACAACAGAACATAAAGCAATTAGAAGTTGGGTATTTCATTTTTCTCCTAATTAAACTTTTTTGGTAGAGATTTCAGCTTTACTGAAACTGCAGACTGAACTTTGAAATATGACTCATCAGCCATCTAGGAGACTCTGGAATGAAATATAGAAGTGGGAATTGCAGTAGACTTGGAAAAGTTCCTGTATTTTAAATCATTCCAAAATGGTGCAAACTTCAGATTGCATCCAATGTGTTTTACATGAAAAGAATCAGAAGTTACCTATTAGAGCCAAGATGCGCCAATTGATGTAAGGACCAATGAGATACATTATGGACAGGCCTATGACACCTATCATCTGCAGAATCAGCTGTGGTAAGAACATGATGCAGCAAGTACTTTGTGACCCCAGTTTAATAAGTAGAAGGTTTACATGTACTAGAGCCGAAAATCTCCCCCTGAGATTCTTCGGTGTTATCTCTGCAACGTAAATCGGTACCTGTAAAGGATTGAACTGGGAAAATGTTTATCCATCATCATATATAGTACTGATTAACAGTATCAAATTTATATGCAATCTTTGCAACAATTACCAAATAACCAGCAATTCCGTTCCTGAATCCCAGTAACAGTCTTCCAACATCTAGCAACCAAGGAACCTTTGCAATACACATGAAAATCCAATAATGTAAATTGAAAGTAATCGATTAGTTTATAGAAAACACAGGCACTGATTCAGTACAGAACTCCAACTCATAATGTTTTGATTCTCTTTTTGCTAGGCACACTAAACCATCTTATTCTAGGTACTTTTAGTTATCTTTATTCACCTTTCCAAGGTAATCTGATAAATGGTTCAAGTGAAATAAATTATATGTATGTAAGAAACTCAATTGAAGTCATTTCTTCATGAATTCTGATTGGGCACCATCTGCTATCAAGATTTTATTAGATACAACACAGCACCTCATCATTTCCAAGATTTCAGAAGGGCATATCACATTTTTAATGGAGCATATAACAAAGAAACTTTAGCATAGAGTTGAAGACAAAATAAAAAAAAAAAAAAAGAAAAACAGAATACGAGGAACCTTTGCAAATGCTATTGCAAGCCATCCCACAGTGTAGAACAAGTTCAGCACCCACATTGTCTGATTCAAGAGATTGAGGAGTTTGTAAAGATTTTGCAATTAACACTCAACAGGTGGCTTAGTGATGCTATTACTCATATAGGAATTTACGCATTTACGACCTAGGAGATCGGTTGTCTTCCCACTTACTAGTGCACCTAGAATTGATCCAATATTTACCATGGAACCAAAAAGAGAAAACTGCACACACAAGAGAGTAGTTCAAATTCACTATGAATTGTGTCAACTAAAACAATAACGACTATTGAAATAGGAACAGAACAAAGCAAAAGAAGACTAGTAACATAGACAGAAGCTACAGCAAACTATGTAGCTTAGTCCTAAAAAAGAAAACTAAAGATAACCTTACTGATTAGAAAGGAGATTTTAAAGCTATTGTATTGTTATTCTAAATCTATACAAATTCCTTTTAAACCCAGAATCATGGATTACTTGTCAGAAATGCAAATTAGCAACTAAGTACTCTCATCACAGTGTTTTACCTCTGTAACAGAAAGGCCTAAGTCCTCCATGATTGCAGACTGAGTTGGTGATGAATATCCCACCTGCACAAAGATTATATAAGAAAGGGAAGAAATAAAAAAGCTTAACCAAAATTGGGTCAATTCAATATACTGTCACCACATTAAAAATGCATATTAGGAAGCATAAAACATTGGTTTGAGAAGTAAATGGCAGTAAATACTTCACTTGTTTTGCCTGCCATAGAAGATGGTACTTACAACACATCCAAAACCAAGTGCAATGCAAGCTGCCACAAAGATGCTAAGAATCAGAGTAGAAGTGATACTTGAACTAGTCTTCAGCTCACCACCATGGCCACCACCTTCCTCGCTGAACCTAACATCATCATGTTGCTGCCTTACAAGCAATGACTTGCAGCTGGCGCCCTTTCTTCTCCCATATCCCTTTTTTCCTGGAAGAAAAACTTGAGATATAGGATGGTTTTTATTGCTCCCCTTGTATTAAGTGAGAGAAGTGAACATCATAACTAAAAAGTGTACTATAATTGGTCTGTTTGAGATGTTTTCCACCCTTGAGAAGTACAGAACAAAAGATGGCTGATTGGATTCTACCACTTAATTGTCCGCAAGCTATCCTTTAAGTGTGACGTACTGAGGGTAGGAGCTAACCCAAGCCTCATCCTGTGGCTGGAAAGATTTTGACTCCTGTAACTTAAACTTTAGACATGGGGCCATACTAAAAAAGAAGTGGGCCATTAAAACTGAATTGTGGTCTTGCATGGCGGAAAAATTGAAAGGGGAAATCTTAGGAGGGTTTCACCTAAAAGTAAGACCTAAACGATCAGCTCCAACGTCAGTTGAGCGTGAAGTGGGAACTGGCAAGTCAGAGAAATGGAATGCTGAAACCGTGAAATGATATACATTAGTTGTTGTTTTTACTTGAAATGCATATAGTAAAATTATATATATATATATATACATATTTTAAATATCTATTTTTTTGTAATTTGTTAATATAAAAGAAATTTTTTTTCTTTCTTTGGTAAGAAATTTCAGTTTAAAAAAGTCATTTATTCTTTTGTTCTTTTCGAGTGTGGAACTGTGAGAATTATTTCTTTGGGAGGTTCCATGCCTGACGCCTTCGTTACCTTTGTGGGCCCCTCCGTTGTTTTGTTAGGAATGATAAGGAGTCAGATCAGAATAAAATTTTATTTGTCTCATATTTGATAATTTTTTTAGTTTTTAACATCCGAATTCAATACAATTGGGTATTATATAAACAGCACTTAATTTAATTTAAAATTAATAAAATATTATTTTTAATATAAATATAAAATTAAATAAATAAATAATAATTTTTTTTATATATCAAATTAAATTTATTTAAAATTTGATTTTAATTTTTTTTATAATTATCTAGGCTCAAGACTCGATTAAAAAAAAAAACTAATTCTAAAAAATTGAATAGGATCAGAGCCTATCAGGGACGGCTCTCAACCCTAGTCTACGTTACTCTTTCCATCCTCCAAAGCACGAGCTTCATGAAAATTTATGGTAACTAACAACTAGCTTGTGGTTCTCAAAGAAAAGTTGGGTTCATGGTCTTTTTTTAGCAGAGTTCATGGTCTTTTGTAATTCCTGAACCACAAAAACAGGTGGCTCATCATATTTGAAGCTCAAAATCAAGAGAGCTAAAGCATGAGCAAAAGAGATATGGCCAAATGATAAAGACAAATACAGTAGTGTTTGAGGCTATTAGTCCTGTCGTTTCCCATCCTGACCACTTCACGTGGATGGTTTATAGGAGGAACAATGTTATTAAGACTTTGGAAGAACCTATTTCTTTGGTTCGGACACAAGGACCAAAGCAAGATGCTGCCAATGAAATAACTTGCTTCATTCTGAAGAATGAGTAATTGATGATTGTATTTCTTCCAGTGTTCGCCCTTTAGTCTCTGGTACCATTGTTGCTGCTAGGATGAAGTTTGCCAAACAAAAGGCTGAAAATATGAAGAATATCCCTGAAACAATGCCAGAATTTGGTCATTTCTAAGGTTAAAAGCTTGAGAATATGTAGCAGATTGGATAAAGATGGCATCATCACCTGCTGAGCTCCATTCAATTAGGAAGTTAAAGTAGTATGCAACAGCCCAACCAGTGATATTGCTGATAAAATTACAGATGCTTCCAGCTGAACCTTTTACATTTATTGGAAATAACTGTGACAGAAGCTGGTATAGTTGGTAAATATTGCAGAAATGGATGAATGAATATGTACACAAAGGCTAAAACAGTTAGCAGACCTCTGATAATAACAGCCATGGAATTCCTGATGCGACTACATATGATCCCATATACATCTGTAAGTGTAATAAAATATTTAGAATGTTAAAAAAAAATAAAAGGAGAAAAAGCCAAAATTTAAGGGGAAAAATGGATTACTTACCATTAAGCCAATGAGTGCCAAAATAGGGCTACCTTGATCCCACCAATTATGTTCCTGCTCATTGATCATTGCAACTGAGATGTCAGAACATAGTGAAATGCACTAACAACATCAAAGGGAGCCAAATAAAGCTACATTGTTAGTACCTTTAAGAGGAATGATAGTCCTGTGAGGAAGCAACTGAGGCATAATCCAGCTGAAGCAACCTGAAAACAGATTCCACAATTATATCATTGTTCAACCATGCAATTTTGACTTACAGACAATTATAAAATGTTTATCCCTTTCTAACCAGTAGAAGTGGTCGCCTTCCAGATTTATCGATTAAGATTGTTCCCAAAATGCCAAGTAATGTCTGCAAAACACAAAAAGGAAAAGAACAATCTTTAGTTTCTGATATATGCATCTATGGAAAATTTGCTTTCCAAATGACTATGCAGCAAACCTGAGCAACAGCCAATGTAACGAGTCCAACCATGCTCGATATACCTGTCAATTGTCATGAGCTAGAACTTCATGTAGTTGAATTTTCATAAGATTTCTTAAACTTGTATGAAGATTGTTAAGATCAGTAATTTACCAGCTGAGACAAAAATAACACTGGAATAATATACAAATGCATTGGTTCCTCCCAAACTTGACAGCGCCATCAAGCCAACTACAATCTAGAAGGAATGGAAGAGAAATCAATGGATTATATAACACATATAGAGAAATTGATCAACTTCAACTAAGTTTCATGTCTTACAAGCAAAGGACGGATATACTTCTTCTGAAATATGTCGAAAATTCCTTCCTTTGAGAAACTTTTAAGAGATTCCACATGATCCTATTTATTACATCAATGGAAAGTAACTGATGTAAAATGTAACACAAATATAAACAACAGTAAACTAAAGAAGAATAAACTGAGGGAAGGTGAAATTGTGCTATTTAATTTTTAAGATAGCCTGTCATTAAAATTAATAATTCTTTAATTTTTTTAAGAAAAAATAATAAAGGTTACTTTTATATCAGTTGCTTCATCAGAAATATCAGCTTCCTCTCCCCTTAGGCACAACAGAACAGCTTCAAGGTCTTTGTCACGACCAACCTTTGCCTGCAGAGAAATATTCTCACTAGCTGTAGATCAAAGTTGAGATTAGAGAAAAAAATGCAATCTTGTAGGAATGAAACTTTGGAAAAGCTCCTATCTATTATACATCCATTCTAGGACCCCCAATTTTAATATTTGCTGCCATGCATGCTTTTACCAAAATAAAATCTTTCTTCTTTGAAACTTTTGGCTTAGGATCCACTAATACTACATGAAGCAATTAGTAATCCAATATTTTTCTGTTTCTTTGGACCTGAACTTTTAAGTTAGGCACTGCATCTTAGCTGTCAAATTCACAGAATGTCAGAATCTCAAAATGGACTCACCAGCCATCGAGGCGATTCAGGAATGAAGAAGAGGAGTGGGAGTTGAATTAGGCCAGGAATGGCAGCTGCATGTTGAATCATGTCAAAACTGTTACAACTTTCAGATCACATAACCAATTTCATATACATGACAGGAAATTTAGTTACCTATTAGAGCCAAATCGCGCCAATCGACAAAGGAACCAACAACATACATGAATGACATGCCCCAACAAGCCATCAACTGCAGAATAAGTATTATAAGAACCATGAGGTAGTAAGTGCATTGCAGCCTCTGTTTGATTAATGATAAAGTTTACCGGCACCATGGCTGTAAATCTTCCCCTGAGATTCTTGGGTGTTATTTCTCCAATGTAAATGGGCGCCTGTTTGAGATTGAAATGTAAATTACTATTGTTCATTATGTCGACATTCAACTTGAAACGGATAAAATTATGTCAAATCAAACTTTATAAGAGTTACCAAATAAATTGAAATTCCATATGTGAATCCCAATGACAATCTTCCAAGGTCAAGCAGCCAAGGAACCTTTTGAAAAAACATCAAAACTTTGGTATTATGAACTGAAAGCCAGCAATGACAAATTGATAATAACATCTTAAACAATACCGAACATCCCTTTATTGTTCCAATGTAGCAAATCAAAGCCATCTCTTTTGGTAAGTTAATCAAGCATGTCATAAAGAAAACTTAAAGAGAATGAGCAGATGAGCCGAAACCTTTGTGAATGCTATGGCAAGCCACCCACTGATGTAGAAAACATTCAAAATCCACATGGTCTGATTCAAGACATGGATTGTAAAAATTTAGCAATTCGTATTCAACAGTTGGAATAAAGATTTTTACTATGTCCTGACAAAGCTTACCAATTTCCGACCAAGCAAATCTGCTATCTTCCCACTTATTGCAGCGCCTAGAATTGCTCCAATACTCAGTATTGAACCAAAAAGTGAAAACTGCAAAACAGTTTTATTTTTTTAAGATTAAAACACTTGAAATAATATCAAATGCAATTAAATTCCCTTCACATAGCTGAACATTCCATGTAAATTTGCCGACCAATTGGTCCTCTCCATAACCAAAGTAGGCAATCTTGAATTGAAACTAATGCCATCGTTAATTAAATATAAAATGAGGTTCACAAGATTACAGAAAAGAACTAAGAGAACCCAATAAAGCAAGGATTCACCTAAGTAGATTTAAAAAGCCAAAATCCCTAAAATTAGGAAAGGTGCATTTGGCATGCTTAATTTTGCCCCTTTGCTTTCAAACTTGAAGGGACAAATTGTTTCTCAACCAGATTCTCTTTGTTCAGGATTTTAACAGCAATGTCTAATTGCTCCTCTGCAGGCAGATTAAAATCAAAACATATATAGTTAGTGGATCGATTCTTTTACCTCTGCCACAGAAAGTCCCAAGTCTGCCATGATTGAAGACTGAGTAGGGGATGAATATCCTAGCTGCAAAGCAGAAAACAAGTTCAGCATTGGAGGAGTCCGAGACACACTGTTAAAAACATTCAATAAAAATGCACCTACAGAACATCCTAAACCAAAGGCAAGGCAAGCAGCCTCAAAGGTGCTAAGAGCAAGAATAGTGGTGACAGTGGAAGCAGCCACCGACCCTCCATCCCCAAGACCAACACCACCATTTTCTTCACTGTCTACAAGGTTGTCATGTCCTTGACTGACAAGCAAAGACTCTGTTGCTTCTGTTCTTTGCTGCCCCATAGCAAGTTGGTTTCACTTCAAAGACCCAAAAAAAAAAAAATGTAGTAAATGTTACCAGCATGAAGTAAACTTCAAGTAACTAAATCAAATTTAACGAACTGTACATGGTGCAAAATTTCACAGATTTTCCTTTGAGAATATGGTTTTGGATCCAATAAAGGTTAAAAAGTATGGGACAAGCACTTTAATGCAGCTTTCTTATGATTTTCGCAAATAATTAATGGCTTTTAGGTACCAAAAAAATATTTTTTTTATATATATGAAGATGTATTAAAGTTGATATATATCGAGCAAAGGGTTAGGCAACGAGGAGTTAGGTAGTCTTTTTTCCAGTCCATCTACCACATTCTCTCTACTATTGTTAAGTTTTTGGCAAAGCGTGGGCTTGCCTCTCAGAATCAGCAGGGGACAGGGGTTAGGTTGCATAACTGTGGTAGGTGGCAAATCAAAGTTACATTTTGGGTTTCATTAACATGCAATTTTTTTCCTGCGAGGACGTAGTTTAAAGATAGAGAAAAACATTACATATGTTGAGATTTGAATATAAAATTTATTATATGTTAAGAGTTAAAAATAATTACATAAATCGATTAAACTAAATTTGAGATTCAGCATTTTAATTATGTATGTCTACTTCAAACTACTTCAATCAAATGTCCTGTAACAGCTCAAGTGATCTAGCCTGTGAGGATGGTAACATTGTCTACTATGTTTTCCCTGTAGGCATCATTGGATTTTCCTATTCTCTCTATTCAGTTTGAATAATGGATCAAGATCAGAAGCAAGTCATAATCTCTTAAATTGTCATATTCATCGTGATAAATGTAGGATCATAAATTCAGGAAATTACAACATTATTGAAGCTGTGAATTAAAGCCCTTCCAATTTATGATGCCATAGCAAAAACAAATAATAATAATACATGGCTGTTCAAGAAATTTCTGCTCGGGTTTAACCTTTATGCAGAGAAATCCTTAATTTTTTCTACAAGATATAAAAATACAATTTATTCAAGGAGTCATACAGTGATAACCTCAATGTTACAAGGAACAAGGCGTGGCCCTGGAACTGTAGGAGCTGAAAAACCAGTTTCCAAAATTTTCACAATCTGATCCATTGTTGGCCTAACATGTAATATCGGATGGCAGCAAAGAACAGCAATTAAAACGTATTGTTCCATCACTTGTGGCAATCCAATCTCAGGCATGCCTTGCTCAATAACATCTAATGCTCTCCCTTGTTCCACAAGCTCCCAAACCCAATCTGCAAGCCGTATAATCTTTTCCTCGTTGCTGGCATGTGCAGTTTTGCCACTCAAAAGCTCCAGAAGCAAAACCCCAAAGCTGTAAACATCACTTTTTTCGGTTAACTTGCCATACAAGGCATATTCCGGAGCAATATAGCCTAGGGTTCCAGCTACCCTTGTGCTTAAATGTGTCATTCCTTCTGACTTGATCTTTGCCAAGCCAAAATCTGCAACTTTCGGCTCAAATGACTCATCCAGAAGTATGTTACTAGCTTTGATATCTCGGTGAATAATAGCAGGATGCAGACCATGATGCAAGTAAGCTAAACCTCTTGCAGTTCCAAGGGCAATCTTCTGACGAATAGGCCAGCTAAGTTTCTTCTTCCCCAATCCGAAAAGATGATCGTAAAGGCTTCCATTATGCATCAAATCACAAACAATTATTCTCTGATGACCTTCCGAAGGACCTATTGCAGTACAGAATCCTCTTAAAGCCACAAGATTGACATGTTTTACACTTGCAATGACTTCTACTTCATGTAAAAAGTTCTCTTCTCCAGCAACAGAACAATTCTTGAATCTTTTTATAGCAACTTCAGATCCATCCGGTAATAACCCTTTATAAACATTCCCATATCCTCCCATTCCAATAATATTATTTCTGGAGAAATTCATTGTTGCGTTTTTTATTTCCTTAATTTTGAACTTTATTAGACCAGTGCTTCTACTATACAGTCCAAATCCAAATACCAAACTAGTCTCATCTTTAACAGACTCATTCTTCTCCATAACAGGCCTGCTCTTCTCCTTTTTATTTTTCTTGTGTCGTCTCATCAGGAGGAACAAAATTGCAGAAAAGGCCCCAAGTAGACCAACGACAGAACCAACTGTGACCGCTGCAATTATACTTCGGTGTCGCTTACTGCTCGGTTTCTCTGGTTCTAATTCTAGGGAAAACAAACACTTAGCAGTTGCTCTATCAGTTGGACCAAACTGGTTGACAAATGCAGCTGTGTACATACTAGGATACCATGAACAAGCTGAGACATTCCCTGCTGTGTCATCTATGTCATCAAGGTAAATTTTCCTGAGTCTAAGCAACTTACTAGTACACATTCCACAAACAAAACTATTATCCAAAGACTGAGTACAGTAATATCTTAAAATTTTCAATTTGGTGTTAGGAATAAGGCTCTCAAACTGTGCTATAGATGTTATATTCAAGCAGGTTTTTGAAATCCATTCTGCATGGTATCCACAATAAGTTTGGATATCAAAATCATTTAAAAACTCACCTATTAACTGCTGGTAGGACTCCCAGCATGCCTCAGAAGTGGTAGGAGGGGGAACAAAGTACTCAGTCATCTGGAGATACTCAGATTGAACCAAGTGGATTCCTTCAAGAATGTTTTGACACTGTGCTGTAATGCCAGAAAATGCGGGCCTTGCAGGGACATTGAACAGTTTCCTGAGGATGTCAAAGTTCAATGGACAAGAGCCGTTCACAAGGGTTTCATTTGAGATCTTTTGGCAATATGTGCTGGAAACACTGATCTCAAAAAATGTTATTGTTACCAATGCAAAGAAAGTGAATAGAGATAGGGACATTGCAAATCTAACGAGTTGTAGACATTGAACAGCAATACAGAATAACTTCAATCTTAATTTCTTAATGAAATTTATCAAAATAATCACTTCAGCCTCAACCTTCAGTGGCCGGTTTTGGCAGGTAGTAACGGGCGGCAACTGAGAGCTGGAATCAGTCTCAACTGGATATTTTAAATGGCACAGAATCCTTATCATGCGATTATGTGACTATAAATAATCCTTTACCTATGATCATTTTTCTCAAACTAAGAACATATGAAATACTTCACATATGTGGCCATGACACATATGGCCAGTTCTTGGTACTATATAATTGAAAATGTTCTGTTTGAGCTGGTTCCTGGTTTTAAAAAAAAAATTACTAATTAATAATTAAGTCATATATTACGATAAACATCAATTTATAAAATTTGATTCGTTTTGATCTATTAAATTATACGATTTTAGCTCACAAAAATTTTTTATAAATGATATTAACGCTTATATTCCAAATTAAATTTTAATACACAACTAATACAAAATGACATCTTGCGTGTGAATTTTTAGGCTGAGATCTGAAAAATCATGCAATATGACAAATTATATAATAGTTTAAGAGGTAACCTTGGCCTTATCCAGAAGTAGACTAAATCATAGATAGGAAATGTTCTCAATTGAGGTGATGTTTTTCATGGTCGACCTAATTGTACAGGAGCAATTTCTAGAATACGTGTGAAAGGATCCAATCCTCTCAGTATAAAGAAGACATCTTCAAAGCCTTTGGTGACTTTCCATTCATTTTTCTTTTCCTGATAAATTTAATGTTTCCCAGCTGACCATTTCTTATGTTTTATGGTTTGAATTGGGGAAACATATATAATATTGTTGACAGAAAAAGGACAATGACAGCTCAAAACAGTGAAAATAGAAAGGACAAAAATTAATATAATAAATTTAAATTTATTTTAATTAATTCATATAAATTTAAATTTTTAATTTTAATACCTATAATATTTTTTTATATTTTTTAATTCTTTTATATAAATCTTCTCTAAATTTCAAATTCCAACCAAACATTCCAAAATCCCATGTAAATCTACCCTAAAAAATATAAGAAAAAATAATTATAAAAAAAAACCTTTGAAACACAAATGAAAAATGAAGCTAACACATAAGTAAATTAATAATTTATATTATCATATCCTATAAAATATTATATTTATGTTATATTTTAAATAAAAGTTACACTTCATATTTTAAATCAATACGAAAATATAAAATATATATTTTTAATTTTATTAAATTTATTTATATATTTTTAAAAATTTTAAATTATATTATTTTTATGTTTTTTATTTGTATCATTTTTGTATCGTATTTTAAATTATCAAATTTACACATATAATAGTTTGGCAACAATTTTTTTTTTTGTTTTTAGTTTTTTTAAAAATTAAAAGTAAATATGTGTTTTGGTTTTTTTTTTTTTGTTTTTAAAAGCTGAAAATAAATTTTGAAAAGTTTTGAAAAAAAAAAATTAAAGATGTTTCCAGTTTTTTTAAAACAATTTCGTCACTGTTATTGACAATATCGTTGCAGTACTGATACAATTGAAAATATTTGCTTTTGAAATATTAAAATTTTAATTTTTTTTTATAAGTTTTTGTTTTTTACATTTTTAAAATAAAAATATTTTATTCAAATATTTTTTAAATTTAATAAACTAAAAACAAAACAAAAATAACACAAAATAATTTTTTTAAAATACAAACGACCTCCAGTTATCATAATCATCTACTTAAATTGGACTGTTTGATTTGGTTCGGTTTTATTTTATTTTTTTATTGGTAAATTTAAATTTAAAATTTTCTCTCTTCAAATTTGCGTTTGAAGGTGTTTACGTTTGACAACTATGCAAATCTAACCCCGGATTTTGTGGTTCGGCATCTCCCTTAAACATATTACCGTCCCATGTCTTAACGTAACCGATCTAGCCCTCTACTTTTCTTTATTTTCCGTTTTGGCCTCAAATTTCTTCACATTTTTACTTTTGTCCCCATATTTTCTGATTTTTTTTAATTTGATTACCACAATTTGGACATAGTGTGCTTATTATTCTGATGTCAACAAAAATGCGGCTTGACTTTAAGGCAATGTCAAACACTGAAGATTAATTGGTTGATAGATGTTTTAATTGTAAATTCCTTCTTTGAAAAAAAGAATAAATTTGATTTCTTCGCCACTAATAAGTGACGTAAAAAAATAAAATTTTACATAAATTAAAATATATAATATAAAAAGTGTTTTTGAAAAAAAAAATTACAATTTATGAATAACCTTTTTTATGTAATAAAATGAAGTCTTTTTATTTTTAAATATTTTATGCTCTTATTTTTTCATATTTATTTTTTAAAATTTTGTTTTTTTAAATAAAAATATGGTACATTAATATTATAAAAAATAAAATTTTTTAATAGACATAAAATTAAAAAAAATACTTAAAATAAGATAAAGGGAGGATATATTTTTAACTCTAGGTTTAATTATTTGACAGTTGTTAAGTGATTTTGAGGTTATAATTTTTTTTTTACAAAATGGAATTAGCTTTAATATATATCATAGAACTATTAAATTATTCTCTGTGGCAAAAAAAAATTATTCTCAAACAAAGAAAAACATGTTAATTAGTTGAAAATTTTAATAATTAATTTTGATAAAAAGATACTAAGAGAATTAACTTAAATTTTTATTAATTTATTATAAATATTTACAAGATATAATTTTTGATACGATAAAAATAAAATAAATCTTTTATATTTTAAAAATAAATAAATAAAAAATAAAATATTATTTATTTAAAATTTTTTTAAAATAATGAATTTTTAATTTCATTACCTATCAAATCAGAAAATTTTCAAATATAAAAAAATCCTTTTCAAAGGAGAACCCTATTGAACTTTGCAAAACTTTAAGGGACCCATATGAAAATTTTCCATTTCTTGCGTACACTGCAATTAACATTGGCGAAGAACCGTCATTTCTCTTCCTCTATGGTTCCTTTCTGTTAAAAGGTCAAACCCAACCACCGAAACAGACAAAAAAAAAAGGACTTTTTGCTTCCCGGCGACCGTCAAACACTAAAACGCCGCCGTTTTGTTATTTTCCTCTTATGCTATTGCCGATCGTTTTTTTTTCCCGGTAACGCCCCGGTGGCCGGTAAAAGAAATTAATTTTGGATTATTTCTTGACTATGAAGCGCAACGGCAACATCGGAAACAACAAAGGCTCCAATAATAATAATAATAATAATAATAATAATAAATAATAATAATAGTCATAATAATAATGGTTTTTTGCCAAATTCTTTGAAATTCATATCTTCCTGCATAAAAACCGCCTCTTCCGGTGTCCGGTCAGCTAGTGCCTCCGTCGCCGCATCTATTTCTGGAGACTGTCACGAACACCATAAAGACCAGGTTTTCTATTTTAATTTTTTAATTATTGATTATTATTTGTCGATTATTTAATTATAACCTTAATCAATTTAGGTTTAATTTTTTGTTCATTTAGGGTTTTTTGTTTGGAAAAATTAGCTCCTTTTTAGTTTTATTTTGCTGTTTTATTGCTCAGAAAAAATATAGAGAAAATTAAACGTGGAGAAATTTAATGGTCTTTTCTTTTTTGTTTAATTTAAAGTAAAATTTACTTCTTCTAGTGAATTAGGGCTTAGTTAAGTGAATGTTGTAATGTAGAACTGAAAATTTAATTTCTTTACAAATTTTAATTTTGAACTTAGTTTATTCGTTAATATTTGCTGAAATTTAAGTATGATTGTTGAATATGATGTTTTATAAAAAAAAAAAAAAATCATATGTATAACTATTGTTGTTTTAGTAGCTGGTGAATGGACATTGAATTGTTTTTGTTGAAAATGATGTTTTTCTTTTTGTGAGTTTCTATAAAATGAATGAAGTTGTGAATAATTTATTTAATGAAGGTAAATGAATGACAGTGGATCATACAATCAGCCGATTTAATGTTTTGATTTCGATTTGTTTGTACAAAACCAAACCAATGTTTAGATGATATTTGTTGGAAATAATGTCTTTGGGAGTTTAGGAAATAGAATTAATAATATGTTGATGCTGTAATAATTTTAATCCATTTTCATCCCCGGCTCCAATGATGGTTGTTTTAGAGTTTTATAAGTCTTTATAATGACTGAATTATGTTTTTAAGGTCAAAATAACCATAGAAGCTGAGGACTTAGATGCCATTATTTTGCAAAATAATAATTGACCATTTGCATGACCGATTTACACTTGGAGCTTCGTGAAAATGATTAGGTTATAAACAAGGAAATGATGACTCTGGAGAGTTTAGTTATTTTTGTGAGAGCAGTATTTGATTATTGGACAGAGTAACAGAGTCAATATTAGAATATTTGTCGTGTGCCAACATTTTGATTCTTGTTTGCTCTTTCTATTATGGGCAATTCTGTTCTATTAATTCTAATAATGCAGTGCTTTGAGTTCCATTAAGGTCAAAATTGCCAAAATGGAAACTGAACTGCTGAATTCCATTGTGTTATATGCAAATTGTTTATCAGTTGCTCACCATTTTGATGGCAATAGCTCGGTATAAATGACGAGGACACTAGTTTACCCCTAATTCAAAGAAGGTGGAGTTAATGTGAGATGCTGATATAGATTTACTTGTGTCACATTGCTAGCCATGGGATTTTGTTGCACTCCTCTTTGACGGGCTGAATAACTTATATATGCATTTGCCTGAAACTTGTTGCTACTCTCTCGGCTATCTCATTGGAATTCTTTTGTGAAACAGGTGCTTTGGGCTTCCTTTGACAGACTAGAGCTTGCTCCTTTATCTTTTAAAACCGTTCTCTTAGTTGGATACTCCAATGGCTTTCAAGTTCTTGATGTCGAAGATGCCTCTAATGTCAGTGAACTTGTCTCAAGGCATGATGATCCGGTTACATTTTTACAAATGCAGCCGCTCCCTGAAAAGTCTGAAGGTCATGAAGGATTTAGATTTTCCCATCCTTTACTTCTGGTTGTTGCCTGTGATGAGTCGAAGGGCTCAGGTTTGATGTTTACTGGAAGAGATGCATTTGCTAGAGATGGTTTAGATGAATCTCAAAATGGAAATGTTCTCATCTCTCCTACTGCTGTTCGATTCTATTCATTAAGGTCTCATAATTATGTTCATACATTGAGATTTCGATCTACTGTATATATGGTTAGATGCAGTCCTCGAATAGTTGCTGTGGGGCTTGCAACAC